AGTCTAAAGCGTTTATAAGTAGTATATAATATAAGGGATATAGACATTCCTTTTTTATACTAGTCTTAAGGTACTTATTAATATAATTAAGTAGTATAGATTTCATTATCTATTACTATATCCTTTATAATAGAGAAAGTCTCTTATTACCTATATAGTATAGATAGTAACCTATAATAGTAAGCGTGTAGCAAAAAGTAAGGAGCCTACATCTCATTATTAGATTTTTAAGATTCTATTTATAATAGTTGCTCTAGTCATCTTTACTACAACTAAAATTGCAACATGCATAATAGTACTTAGCAAATGGGAGCTTTCGGTTCTAAAGCCGGCGGGAGTACGAGCTAGGTTGTTAACTGTAGGTATCTCGTAGCTTAAGCCCTTCTCACCGTTTAGTATCACACCTTAGGACTCGAGACTCATTATGGGAATGCCTAGTTGAAAGATCTTCTAAGCGAGATCTCACTTTTCTCTCCGACCGCCTTATAGCTTTGGATGGAGTTAAGAGTGAACTACAAAAAAAGATGAGGTTGAAGGATATCGCCTATGCATATGGCTTGTGGGAGAATGGGCTTCTACGTAATCTACTATGGTTTGTAAAGTCCTAGGCCAATCGAAGTTCCATGCCGCTGCGAATACCGTTCTAGTCTTGGGCATCGACAGCCGGAGCAGTAAAATTCATTCCTTACGTAAAGGAAGATAAGGAGGGACTTTCCTGCATAACCAGCTTCACCGGTGGCAAGAGCCTTCTTGTAGAGGGCCGCGTTAGAGAAGTGTCGCAAATCGGTGATCTCGCTCAACCTGCAAACGTGGATTCCATAAGGAAGAGTCTTACGAGCAGTGTATCTTTATTTTTCGGCTCGTGTGCACATTTGATATGTGATGACCGACATGAGCCCATCGGTTTCGCAGCGCTCGATGAGTACCACAGACCTAGCGATGGCCCTGTTTATTGTCTTGCTGTTACGTGCGAAACCTTCCAGTTCGAATCTCCGCTTCACAATGGGCATACTTTCTTTGTCCTGCTGTTACAGACTCTGCCCGGTCGCGTTAATACCTTTACGCGCATAGGGATGGGTAGGAAATCTCCTCCATTTTGGTTTGAAGACACGCTTCCACGTCAGATTAGCGTTATATAATTCAAGTTTATAAAGCATAAGTTACTAGTTGTCTTTCGTTTCATAATCTCGGGGCTTTCTCGTTGCGTGGATAACATAATGGAATATCAAGCAGGTCAATCGGCTGGTTAGGAGTTATTTCTGAAACTAACCATCAATCGGTCTCCAGTCTGGCGGGGTATCAGTTGGAGGATCAGCTCATCCCGGGTTTGCGCATCTTATGCAAAGCGGTCAAGTCTCGCTCTGCAGAAGCAATGAAAGAGTATACAGCGCAAGAAGATAATTTGCTGATGCGCCTCGTAGTTGCGCCATTGTCCTTCCTTGTTGGCTTTTCAAACCAGCAACATAATTAATGACATTCCTGTCTAACTTAGACCCTATGCGGCTTCGATAACCTGAAATCTAAACCAGATATTGAGAATACTGTGGACTGTTGGAAGTTCGTCAACTGCAAAATCTAGACATGGCGGGAGCGTCCCTTTTATACCATTTTCAAGCTCACCCACGCTCACCCTCGCTCACCCAGGTCACCTAAACCACCCGATGATCCGTGGGCATCTAAAATTGCGGTGCATCGCATCCATCGCGTTTCAATACGAGACCCACATCTTGCGTTGTCGAGGTGGTCCCCATCACATAATTGAGGTGGCTCGTATAGCCTCAATATTTTGAGGCAGCGACACTCACCCACTAGTCCCGATGTCACCGACCAACCTAAAATGCAAGTGAAAGCTTGCGTATCCTCTGGATAATAGTCTCATTCGTGCCAATAGGAATAGCGCAGAATCGGGATCCCTTGCCGCCTAAAGGGTGAGACAGGGGCGTAGCAGGGTGAGTAGGGGGTAACCATGCACTGAACGTATATGTGCGCTACTGTCTCATGGACAACTTGAAAAGCAAGCTTTGTTCTCTTAATTAGAAGTCGACGAAATAGCCTGCTATGTGCTATTTGATAGTCTGAATAAATTCCTTAATTAGTTCTTTGACATCATCTGGTGCCTCCACGCAATGCCAATGACCAATCCCACTCAAATCCTTAGTCGACTTTTCAGTCTTCTTGGTCCCATATTTCTCCAAAATCTCCTTCGGGCCAGATAGAGGGGAAGTTACATCATCTGATCCCGTAATTATCAACAAGGGGACATTGATAGCTCCGTAATCTGGCGGCTGAGCAGTGGCAAGTGCATGACAAAGAGACATGTAACCCTCGGGAGATGTGCTCAAAACCAATGCTCGAACAAAAGCACGCTGAAGACTGCCAGCCTTCTCTCCCGTAGCAGTTAGAGGAATTTTCTTAGCTAGCGTCTCAAGACTGTCTATTTAAAAGTCAGCATTTTCTGTCAAAAAGCTAAACTAGATGGAGTCAGAAAGAGCAGCTAACACTTACCGCTCTGGATAACCTCAATCCTCTGCTCGAAAACAGGCACAATGGCAAATTCAGGATTCACCGGCCCAAGCAACACAACCGCCCTCACTCGATCCGGATATGTAGCAGCCAAAAAATTTACCACAGTACTGCCTACTGAATGTCCAACCACAATAACGCTCTCCTTGATATTGAGAGTGTCTAAAAGCCCTATGACGTCTTCTGCGATAGTAGCGATGCTTTGCTCTGACTTGCCAAGCTCCGACAGCCCGGAACCTGGAGTATCAAGTGCGATGCAGCGAGTGGATGATTTTAGACCAGGAATTATTGTATGGTAAAAGCAGGACGAAGAGCCAAGGCCGTGGATGAAGACAGTTGTGGTCTTAGTTGTAGAGTCTCCGTCGACTGTGTAGAAGAGGCATTTGCCATTGACTTCAACGGAAGGCATTTTTAATATAGTTCTTAAGACACAATACCCAAGGTGATAACGCGCAATTAATAGGAGCTGAATAGATTCAGGTGGTAGTGGATCACTGCAGGTTAGAATGACGTCGCGATGACGGATGAGGTATGAGTTAGAAAGAAAGCTACTATCGAGGTGACGTGACGAAAAGAAGGAAAAGAAGATGGATGACACGCAAAGGTGAGGAAAATCAAAATAAGACCATAGAATATATTTTGAAGAAGATTAAGTAGTTTGTACAATTAACCCTCTTAGCCTCTTTCGCAATAGCCTCGTTGATGGCAGCCTACGTGCGTCTCTCCCCGTCTTGCTCTTCGCGCATCTGCAGTTCGGCTTGCAACTGCGCGGCTTGTTGCTGACCCGCTGCAACTTGTCCTTGATATGCCATGTCATGTCTAGCAGCTGACCGCGATGCTCCAATAACTACAGCCGTGCCTAGTAATGGCCTTCTGCGACGTCCAAACATATCGGTGTCTATAATTCAGATGGTCTGATCTAGGTGTGGATTTCTCTCGTGTGCCAGGAACTTTGAAGTAATGTGTTATTCGTTCCACCCTTTAATTGGTAGGTAGTCTTAGGGAAGAAGCAAATGAAGAATAATACTTACACTATAAAGAATTTTGAAGCTGTGATGTAATAGCTAAAAACTGCTGCGTAGTCAGCGTGCAAGAGAGGCCTGCTCCTTTATCGCCTTCTGAACCATGTCTGTGGATGAGAACCCCATTGCTCATTATGAGCCGGCGGTGCTGCTTTAGGTCCTTGAAATTTACGTCAATGGTAAAGGACTCCGCTTGAGCGCGGGGCCCATCAATTCGTATGGCAATAGATACCTATAACTGATTTAGCGAGAGGGCGGCTGTCATTCCCTCGTTACTTGTATCAAACGAGACCGGATAGAGCTTGCCACGAAGCTCGTCTGCACTGGTGAGGTAACAATTCCGCCAAGGCCCGTTCTCAGCACCGTAACCTAGTTTCTCAAATACTAATGCCAGCGCCTGTTTAGCTTCGTCGTGCTTTGAATCTGCGAAGACCACGTGGCTAAGCAAGGTCGCTGCAAAGCGGAGGTCGCCATTCTCGACATAAGTTTGGGCCATACAGACGACCGCGTCGGCGCCTCCCATACAGAACACATAGCGTCGGCCTTCCTCTGCCGGGGGGTGCTCCCAAAGATGAGCTGGATTGCCATCGTACCATCCCATATATCGTTGGTAGATTGCTTTCACATTGTGGCTGATGGATCCGTAATAACCCTGTGCGTGCCAGGCCCTCTGGAGCGTATGTGGGAGAACGAAAGACTCGGCTATCTCGATCCCTGTCTGGCCCTGGTTTATCATACGAACCGTTTGGTCGTGTAAGTATGCGTAGAGGTCTCACTGCTCTGAGAGATATTGGGTAATTGCTTCGCGACCCCAAGTAGGCCAGTGGTGCGAGGCGAAGGAGACGTCTGCATCATGGGCAAAAAGAACAATAGCCTCATCTAAGTAGCTCGACCAGGCCTGGGCATCACGGACCACTGCCCCTCGTAGAGTTAAGATGTTATGGAGGTTATGAGTAGCATTTTCAGCCATACATAGAGCCTTGCGTTCGGGAATATAGAAGTTCATCTCGGAAGGCGCTTCCGTTCCTGGTGTGATCTGAAATATGAAACGCACGCCATCAACAACCTCTTCCTGACCAGTCTTAGTAATTTCTAGAGTTGGCGGAATCAGTGTAGTTGTGCCGGTGGATATGGTGCTGCCAAGCCCTGTGGAGATCTGGCCCTCTGGTCCTTTCTTGAGCTCATTCCCATACATATACACTGCACGGCGAGCCATCGCGTTGCCGACAAAGATATTCTCCCCTACAGCATGTTCCACAAAGCCTTTAGGGGCTAGTATCGTGACTTTTTTGCTTGTTTCCTGTAGCACACCACGGGACCACCAAAATGGTCGCCATGCGGGTGCGTGTAGAGCAATCCAGTGACGGGTCGGTTTCCACGGTGTTCGCGGTAGAGTTTGAGACCAGCTGCCGCACACTCCACAGAGATTAGAGGGTCAATGACAATTATACCTTGTTTTCCTTCGATAACCGTCATGTTGGACAGATCAAATCCACGGATTTGGTAGATACCGTCTGTGACTTGGTAGAGGCCCTGCTGACGACAAAGTTGGGCTTGGCGCCAGAGGCTCGGGTTGGCTGATGGCGGGCACGAACCTTTGAGAAAGTCGTATTCCTCATTGTTCCAGATAACGTGGTCCTCGTGATTTCTGACTATGCAGGGTTCAAGAGCAGCGATAAAGCCTCGACTCGCATTATCGAAATCAGTAGTGTCAGTAAACGAAGAAGAGGTAACTTTAGACATAGTTAACTAGCAGGCTTGTTTTCATGCGAACTGCAGAGCATAGCTGAAGCTTGTACCAATATTTAAGTAAAATTTTGCAAGGAAGAATAAAAAGAGGTCATGCTAGTAGTATATGTTGCAAGACGTATCACTAACGTACTTTCCGCGTTATTATCCACTTGCCCGCTAAGTATGATGCATAGGTGACGTACATAAGATGAGGACATGTCTACTATAGATATTAAGCCTCTATATTATTAAGGATTAGAAAATCACTGGTCAAGGTGGTCGAGGTGGTCCCGATTACAAAATAAGGGCAAGGGGCAGCAAGGCTCACCCGCTGCTAGGCCAGATGGCACCGATTTAACTATTATCTAGAGGATATGCTTGAGATCGGTGGATTAGTAGTTGGGTGGGTGACCACCAGCGAATACCCACTGTTGTATGTTTATGGTCTTTTTATACCATCTATCTACCTTCTTCTCCTTGATGGATGGGTTGGCAGGTTTGCCATGCCCACTTTTTTTTTCTTCGCTAGGAGGCATGACTTTAAACCCAACCTGAACCTTGAAAGTGTAGGGGTCTATCGGTACAGTACAGTCTACATACAGTATAATGTTAAATCATAGTAAGGAGCTTTATTGCACTATAGCTGCATCGACTAGTAGGTATTTCTTCGACTGACACGTTCCCAGCATCTGTGTTGATTTACAGGACGCAAGAAAGGATTGTCCGAGTTGGCCATCCGCAAGGAAAACCGGGCATCATCGAGCAATTCTACGCACAAGTCATCTCTTCAGATGATGAACTCAAGAAGCTTTGGAAGGAGCGGCCTGATTGCTTGAACGCTGATATGCCTGTTCGGCATGATTGGCCTCTTGGGATCATTCATCAAAGGCGAATATTCATCTTGTCATTTGCTCATAAGGTTTGTATACTCTAATGAAAGTTACCGTTACGTCCAAAAAAATACACATCAGCTGTTTACCATCCACCGACATTTCCATATCTAAAGTTTCAGAAATTTACAATTCGTATATACTAAGGTTTGCAACATTGGCTTGACGTACATCCAAATACTAAATACTGACATTTGGGCCAACAGATTACCTGCCTAGCCGCTGCTCGAAATAGTCTTCGAACCTTTATCGACTGGCCTGACGACGACCTCTCTGAAATCTACAAACGGGCCTGAACAACCAGCACGCATGTTCTAGCCGCAGCAGTAATGCTCCTTTTCGGGATCCTGCTTTCATCCGAAGACGAAAATGGGCTCTTCGAACTCTCTGAGATGTGGAATTTGGTTCGTGAATGCGTTCCTCCGCTTCAAAAGCTCGTGAAGTACAGCACGGTAGCGGCGCGAGACGTCAAGGTGATTAGTATTATGCTGGATTATGATGCAAAGATACAGCGGAGCGAGTGGAAGAGACTTCAGATTGTCGATGTTGTAGCGCGTGTGCTCCAATGGGAGGGAATCGAAAGGAACGTAGGGCCTGAGGGATACCCGGGCATCCCAGAGATAGGGATTGAGGAGGTGGATATCATAAGTAGTGAGTCTTTGAAAGAGATGCTAGCCTATATAGGCAATGAGTTGGACATTGCGCGTGGGCCGAGAGATTTCTGATTTAAGAGAGGTAGCGGTCCTCTCGAGTGCTACTTATGTACACTAATACTGCTACTAAGCTGCTATCTTGCACCAGCTGTTAAGTAGATGAGAGACTGGGTGTCCTGAGCTTTTTCGTTCAAGGCTAAGAAAACTAAGCAGATCGTCACGATTTCTTTATAAGTCATAATCATATTATTTTTGTATAACTCGAGACTGATTAAATTTTCTTAATTTCAGGTGCCCACCGCCTGCTTAGACATATTTAAGCTATCTTTGAAGCTTTTTGCCTAAGCATACGCCTTTACATACTCAGCATTATAGATTTCGGACACCGTCTGTGGCGAATATTTCACTACCGACCCTTTCTCCTCACATCCTGGCAAGCAATCAATAACAAAATCGGGATTGCCGTTTATGCAAAGAGGAATTGAATACCGCTCTTTTCCCGATTTGTTAATGACGCGGTGTAGGTTTGAGTTATATTGATCGTTTGACCTATGCCACCATTAGTTCAGGCGTAAAGACTACCTTTTAACCCCTCAAGTCGTCGACATAGAGAGCGGCTGCAGACAGACCTACCATCGCATTAACATATTGCCAATGTTGACCACATAAGCACCCTTCACCAGCACAACATCTAACTAAGCCTCGGTCACATTGTCCCACACCTGTAGCCCATCAACCTCTCCCTGCAACAGCAGCGTAATCGCGCCCCAGTCTGTATGGGCGCCAATCCCTCTCGCCAGCCTATCCTCGGAATCCTTCTCCTGTGGGGGGTAATGGAGGTACTTTAAAAGCGGCACTGCACCTGTCTTAAAAGCGTTGAAATAATCCTCACTCAGCCCTAAAGTTAAAGCGAGGGCCTTGAGAAGATCACTAGCAAGTTCGCGAATGGCAGACAAGTACTCCGTGGATGTGACTTTGAAGTCTGAGGCGCCAGCCATGGTGCTAGCTTTGGGCCAGACGTTAGGTCCAGATTGCATCTTTTTGTTGACGAAGTACGGGTGTGTCGTAGGAATGTCGTCGCCGAGGAAGAAGCCTTCGTTCATTTCGGGCTTAGTGCCGGGTTCGAGCATCTGCACACCATAGGGCGAATAGCCGCGGCCCCAGGAGGTAAGGGCTATATATCATATTAGTGTGTGAAAGGCATTAGGGTGCGAAGATGGGCGTCGTATTTCATTTTCTCTTCTATGGGGAGGTCAAAAAACTCCTTTGACACGTTGAATGTCCGCTCTTGGAGCTCCGCGCCGACTTTGTGCCCTACAATCTGGAAGAAACCGTCGTGCAGGCAGCACGACCGGATGTCGTCGACTAGTTGCTGCTTCTTGGTAGCACCGTCGCTATAGAAAGCTGTGAGTCATAAGCATTTATCGTCATTCAAGAATCTCCATAGATGGACGTCGGAGGAGTACACAGAACCACTTACCAGAAAAGTCAAGGATAGGTGGACCTGAGCCAACCATTCTGGGCTACGAAGTCTGAGTCGAGCTAATGAGAGTGGCTTCCCTCGCAGTGTTCGCAATATATACCCGGCTTCACTGCAGATTTGTGACGCCGTTGAAGGTCGGGGATCTTCGTGTTGCGTAGCTTAGTACTAAAGGTCGATCGGGCCGCGGGCGAGTCTCACCGTCCCGGGCCAGTCGCAATGTGGTCCTGCCAGCGAATCTTTTATCACCAATACTATTGTAGCAAGGGAGAAATCGAATCAACTGGCACAAAGGACATCCTTGTGACCCTTACGAGCGGCCATGTGTAATGGTGTTCGATTTTTATCATCCATCACGTCAACAGCGGCTCCATGAGCTAATTTTTGGTGGATGCCGGCGACCCGAAAGGCAATGATAGAGACCGAGGAGGAACTCCCGGTTCGCCCCCCGCCACGTAGCTTATTGTCCATGGCTGTGGCAAGCTTCAAGCCTCCTCTGCCGCCTCCTCCGCCGTGTGATGGGCGTGTCGCCGAGAAGGAGCTCATCGCGGATCCAACAGATGGCGCAGGAGAGTTTCGAAGAACCGAACCCGTCTCGTCGTCACTCCTCCGCCGTAAGGCACGTGCAAGGGCTCAGGCTCACCGGCCCCGAGCACAGTCGCCAAAGAAATGAGGATTGATATGGGTTTAGGTCCTCGCTATACTCCGCCAATGATCTCGCCTGTTAGGGTCGAGCTGTCTCAGACCCCAGTTAGGAGCGTATTGTGGATGGGAAAGCCGGCTGCGCGAACAAACAGGGGGTGATCCGGCCTGCACAGGACCCTGCTCGGCACATTTTAAGGTACGACCCGGCAGCGGATCCACATGGCCAGGCCAACCATGGGGCGCTGCTTGAGACATGTCATTTCGGCTCCCTATCCTAGTTCAGGGGTTTTCCAGGGCACCACTGTCTTAAGACGATGGCTCTCACTTTGACCCATAGATCAAGAAAGGGCGAGTCGACGTGCTGTGCTGTTTCCTTCGGCATCATGTCTAGGCTCTTCCAAGAGGCCTATCTCGACGGTAGTCAACTCGACGGCTATCTGATTGACGACAAGCTCCGACCTCAACGGTGCCAGCCAGGCACCCGAAGATTCTCGTTCTCGGGGAGTATCTGGAGACTATGAGCTTCCCGTGCTCCCTGGGTTGACGGAACGAGAACGACTCGAGAGCCCTTCCGTAGCGACCGATGACGGCCACCGAGCCCCCCTCCGATAATGACTATGGCCTCTTTGCGGGAGCCGACTCCGAGACCGAGCTTGAAATGGAGGAAGAGGATTCTGATGCTGGTGATGCCGGTGACGAAAACACGGCTACTATTGTCTTTCCTAACATACCTTCTATACCGTACTTAATAAGTAAGCCTACTATTCTAGCTTAATGCGCGAATCTAGATTGATTTTGTTAGCATATCTATTCTAGTCAGCATTCACGTTGGGAGTAGCTCTAAAGCTCTAGATATTGTACCGAGGAACTCCGATACTTACCGAACCGGAGAATGGCAAATTTTGGGGGTTTTGCTGACTTCTAGCGGCTACTCTACCGCATTAAGTGAAACTGCTGTTACTGCTGTTCCCACATCTAACAATTCTAGCACTATAGCGTTCTCAGCCGGTCAAAGCAAAGTCTACATCGACGACATGTTTGTTGCGGGGCAATAATAAAGGCTTATGCGTTTATTTACGAAGATTATATATACTGATAGCCCAATATGAACGTCAATATTGTCTTTTGCTACTATATGCTATAGCCTAGATTGAAAGAGTGGCACCTGCAACGCCAACTACGGCGCTGCGCACATTTGCAGATCCGAGCAAGCTGTATGTATACGGCATGCTAGATGGAGTAAGAGTGCCAACAGGTGCTGTATTAGATCCGATTCCGAGATCATTATCGAAGGCGTTCGCGTAACTATAATTGTCAGTGATGTTATATTTCCAGTTTATCATAGTGATGAGCCACTCACCCTGTTTTATCACTGTATAATGCAGCAATTGGCTCCGTGCAGTTAACAAAGACGTTGCTCTGAACCAAGATTTGGGCTCCATCTCGGGTGTCGATTCCGGTATTCATACTGTCGAAGTACGAGTTGTAGACGTGGCCAGTGCCGTATCTCAAGCTAGGAGTTCGGCTGCCGATGTTGAACCAGTGGTTGTTGTGTTGAGTGACGTGGAGATGTCCGGTATCTTCTGCTGCATTATTGTCGCTGTGGCCGATGAGGGATGCTTTCCAGTGGTCATGAAGGTAGACGTTTGAAATGGTGACCCATTCTGAAGCGTGTGTAACATCAATCAACCCGTCATAGTAATCCTTGCCGTGGGAGAGGTCAGAATAGAACTCGCTGATACCGTAAGTAGACGAATGATAAGATTGTTATGGATTACAAACCAATGGTCAACCCAGACATTGCTAGATGCCTGAATTCCAAGCCCATCACCAGAACTAGCTAGCACGTTCTCGCTGATGATGTTGCGGATGATAACGTTTTTTTGCTTCCATATATAGAGGCCGACTCCGCTAAGTTCTAGTAATTGTTATTGTAGCTCTTCCACAACAAGATCTAGATATGCATACTGGCACCGGGGAGGCCAATGATTGATTTGTTGGAACCAATTCTTACTTGGACATCACCGGTAATTGTACCTTTAACCACAATGATGAGAGGAGTTGCATCGTTGTTTTTAGAGTTGTCGGCAATAGCTGTGAACTGGGCGAGAGTAGACACTGTAGTGACCGTTCCACCTTTGCCCCCTGTTGTTCTATTATGCACATACATTTAGTATATGTATAGCATTACAGTAGTGTCCACTTACCCTCCATTCTGAGTAGCAAATCCGGTGTCAGCAACGTCAGTAATAGTTGCTCTTTTTACAATGTTTGCGCGCTCGACGGTAGAGTCTTCAGTCGGAGTAGGAACAGCCACTACAAGTGGAGCTACAATGGCAAGGCCAAGTGAAACAATTGAACACCTCATCTTGAAAGCGGTTATATGCCAATATAGAGAAGATTGAATTGAGAGTAGTGAGAAGGAATAATTGGAGATTTCGTGTCCTTCTTATATAAAATTATGGACAGCTGCCCTGTAAGTTAATGGCGCCTAATGAGGTCACAGCCCCGAATCCCTTCTACATAATTGCTCTTAAAAGCTTAGCATGGCAGGGAAGGTTTGCGAGGTGCCGAAGATAAAAGAGTTTCTCCGGTCTGGTATCTTGTGACCCCTAGCGTGAAAAGCTTAGTATCGATCTCCCCGAGGCTTAGCATAGCACGGGAAGTTAATCAAGAAGCCAAAGATTGGAGAGTTTCTCCGACACGGGAGCCCGGGACCCCTCTCATCGAAAAGCCTAACGTAACTACTCAAAATTTATACACGGCAGGGTCATTTTCCACGAATGAAACCGAACTACCCCACGTTATGCACAATCTATCGTATAGAGAGTGCAATGTAAGTAACATGCACAGAAACAATACAATTCATAGCTCTCTAGAATTGCTAGATTCGGATCAGAGATAATTATTCCAAGGAAGCGGCCCCTGTCTCGGCATAGTTTGTTTCCAGCACAAAATATGACGCCTTTACGTCGAGAGTGCAGGTTGACAATTTAAACCACATACCAGAAAATGCGTGTAATGACGTATATCTTTGCGATAGGGTGTCACGTATTCTTGTTGCGATTTAATAATTGGGTTAAGTTCTCTTAAGTCTATAGCCGTATCTAACAAGATATATGCTACAATGAGAACTGTAATCTAATACTAGCAATAAGCACAGAAGGCAGCCACTTATTCTCGACGGTCACCTTCAGTATAGTAGTGCGTTTCGAACAAGATACCTTAGATAAATTTGCCGAATTCCGGATTCCAAGGACATGATTCTCTGCACCCCGCGTTTTATGCAGCTTAGATATTAAATACAGCGCATGGTTCATCCAAGCTGTCGCAGCTTAACCATAATCTCTTAATTTTCCACCTCTTAAAAGCTCCAGTTCTATTAATAATAGATTTTAAACGAAACAGGCCGTTTACATAGGACACATGATTCGCGGAAAGAAAAATAAGCATTGGCCGTGTGGAAATCAAACTTGTCCAACCTAATTTACAATATTAGTTCACACACGCGACGAAGCTTGTCCAAAATTAAGCTTTGCCCTAGTAATGCTTCTTACACGAGTAATTAGTTATGAATGTATACGTACATTCATGTACTCAGTCGCGAGTCTGTGAGTAATAGTATAAGAGGAGGCGGTAATCCAAAGGACTTTCCTTTTGTCTCCTTACCTTCATCAAACTTCTCTAAGTGTGCGTTCTAGCTGATATTCAGCATGAAGTTTCTCATCTTTGCCACTCTTCTTCCATTGGTGCTGGCTTGTACCAATCCAAACTCAGATGCTTGTGCCTCTGCAGTCAGTGTGTTAGGGCAGGCCTTCTGTGCTACATATACCACAAAAGTCAACACAGCCACGACATCGCTGCCAGCATGGGCAAGCGCCTGCTCGAATAAGCCCACCAAGATCTCCAGTGTGTGTACTTGCTTCGCGACGGCAACTGCACCGGCAACCGCAACTGTACGTATGATCACCTTGTAATGAGCTCTACTTTGCTAATGCTCAGCATAGCCAACGACATTAAAAACTAGTACGACGGCAACAAAGGTCACAACGACGACATCAGCCCCTGGTGGTGGTGGTGGAACTGCTTGCACTGTGACCGCTTATGCTTCAATCTCCGCTGCCGTTGCATCATGCTCAAACATTGTTTTATCCGGAATTTCTGCTCCCGCCTCTAGCTCAATTGATTTATCAAAGTTGAAGACTGGTGCGGCAGTTACCTTCTCTGGCACAACTGTACGTATGATTAATCGTGACATATAAACTGGATTGCTAACTGTGGAAGACCTTTGGGAAAACGTCAAGCAATGACTTCAACCCCATCGTTATTTCTGGTACCGATATTACCATCACGGGATCAGCTGGCCATGTTATTGATGGAAACGGCCTGGCGTACTGGGATGGTCAGGGTTCAAATGGAGGTGTCGCAAAGTACGTCTGAAATATTTTCCATATAATAGGAATACTAATTCGTGTGTTAGGCCAGACCATTTTATTGTCGCAAAAAACTTGAAGAACGCAGTATTTTCTAACTTAAACATTAAAAACTGGCCAGTCCACTGCTTTGATATCACCGGTGGAGACACTATTACGCTAAGCAACATTCATCTTGATAACACGGCGGGAAATGCTGCAAATTCTGCAAGTGGCGGCCTTCCTGCCGCTCACAACTCGGATGGATTCGATATTTCGGGAACATCTAATCTCATCTTGGAGAATTCGTATGTTAATAACCAAGATGACTGTGTAGCTGTCACCAGTGGAACCAACATCCTTGTGTCGGGAATGACCTGCATTGGTGGTCACGGACTGAGTATTGGGTCCATCGGAGGGAAGAGCAACAATGTAGTAGATGGAGTGACGTTCCAAGATTCGACCATTTCTAATAGTCAGAATGGATGTCGAATCAAGTCTAACTCTGGCACGACTGGAGCTGTAAGTTTAATTTCGCGCTACGGCAGAAACCCGTTAACATTTTCGCAGGTCAACAACGTCACATATAGCAACATTATACTGTCGGGGATTACCTCATATGGTATTGATGTGCAGCAGGATTATTTGAACGGTGGGCCGACGGGTGACCCAACAAACGGTGTCACTATTTCCAACATAAAATTCATCAACGTGAAAGGCACCGTGAGTTCGAGTGCGTATAATTATTATATCCTCTGTGGCTCTGGAAGTTGCTCTGGCTTTACTTTTACTAGTGACAGCATTACTGGTGGTAAGACGAGTTGCAACTATCCTTCATCTGGATGCCCTAGTTAGGTATTATGAGGAATGCATGCTATATTTTAGATTATAATGTCACGTAAATCTATCCGTGTTCGGCACGGATGCTGATATACCCGTGATATCCAGGTATATCCTCGAGTATATACCTACCCTTTGATTTTTGAAAAGTATCCGGGGTATCCAGATACTTCAGGGATATATACGGATACATGCCAAGCATAGCTAAGAATAGCCAAGGCCCATTTTTACAAACGCCGTAAGACCTGTCTTTATACTGTATATAGTGATAAATATCCTTAGAATGAGTGACTCTTCGTTATTAGATATACCAACAGAGCTTAAGGGCTATAGTAGCTATGTTACTTATGCTAAGCCAAGCTTACCAACGCTGTCTACCCCTACTCTACGGCCTAATGATGCTACACTGCTCTAGCTCTAGTCTCTAGGACTAATGCTACTACTAACGACATCTATACTATTTACAAAGCAATCATTCAGCCCTCTACTGAACTGCATATCATGGACTCGTTGCTCATCATAACTCAGTAAAAAGTCCCTTAAAACCAAAGCAAGATGCTTCTAAAGAGGCATTCTCTCCAGCTCTTCCGGCTCGTCTGGCACAAGCCACCCCCAGGTCTTCCTCTGCCTCCCCATCATTCTCATACTTCTGGTTATCTATCACGAGTACAGCTTTAGCAAGCGCAACCTAGGCTACTCTTTCTTTACCTACAGTCTTTCGCAAAAAGAGAAGGTAAACCCACCCCATACCGGGAACTTAGCCAAGCACTACTGTAATCACAGTTATAGGATACGTATTTGTGTCATCAGCTATCCAGTCTCTTGCACCAGGTTTACTATGGGTACGACTTAAGGTAACCTATCTTATTGAGAACTACCAACTAATCGTATCTCACAGGCAGTTGCACATCTAAGCATGCTATCCAACTCTCGCTTCTGAGTCTGAAGGGTAGCACTGCCCTAGATATTATCAGCGATCTTGCCAGTACGTCTCGCCCTATGAGATTCCCCTTCCCAGCAGCATCCTCCCTGTTTCACCAATTCGTTATGCGCAACCTTGTCCAAGGTTGTGCATAAAGAATTGGTGAGTTCGCATGGGATTGGAGTCGTACCGGTGAGGATAAAGATGCCCCAAGTACGGAGGGCAGAGTCTATTTTGGAGATTGTGGCAAGAGATTCGGAAGAGGAGAGGGAATCGGAGGCGAAGAGAGAAGTGCAGTCGATGATATCTTATTGCAGCATAGTGAGTAGAACTTTAAATAAACCACGGTTGCGACACAACATGCTGCACTCCAAAAGCCATTGACTGGGTACTTTACCCCGCATTATATTTAGTCAGCTGTAGCTATTTGGCAGGAGTACCGTCTTTCGTCCACAGAAATTAACTGCCCGCTCTCTAGTAAAAATTGAAGAGACCTCACATATGATGGATCGATCGAGCGCTAGATTTTCGAGGCCCTCATTATCGAAACAGTACGTCTTTGCTACATCGAAAGACGCCTTCGTCTGCGAGTAGAACTGACTGTAGGCTAGACCATCCACCAGCTCTCGGTTAGTTGCTGTGAGAGTCATCCCGATCGAGTCTCTCATACTTAGTGTGGCTCCGTGAAAATTCGAGAAGGCTTCGTTTCCTGCGATAAATCTGAGGACACGGGACTAGATTCCCTCAAGCTTATCTGCCTGCAAGCTGTACCGGATTAGCTGTTGCCGTGACTAGTGCAGGTTACGGTCCCTGACAAGTCTTTCAGTGCCGGTTGCAGTAGTATTTGCCTTCGCAGCACTATGTGAGCAGCTGCGTCACTGCTGCCATGTCCTGACATTCTTCGTAGATTGCGGGTAGGAAAATTCCATCCAGCCAGGTGCTTTCTTGCTCGTCGGTGAGATAACTATTGCGATCTTCTTTCGCAAACGACCACATGTGGGGAAAGAAGACGTAGATGTTGACCTTCTCCCATTAAGCGACGTGTCCTAGGCAGTAATGCGGCACCTTGGGAAGTGGTCGACTGATGATTCGTTCGGTATCTAATGCGTCAAAGTATCGCGTGTTGATGTTTAAGTGAATAGCTGCGCTGAGGTTTGGCATCACATGAGAGACAGGATTCTACTCAATTCCTGACTTAGCGACAGCTAAGCTAGACGTATATGCGCAGAAACTGTCGATGTCAAAGGTGACTTGAGTAGGACGCTGTAGTCGACTGCAACTATTCTCAGAGAGACACAAGTTGTGGGGTAAAGGAGTATCGTTGTCGGAATTGGGCTTGGGAATGCCTGTAAAGATCTCTCGCAAGTGCCGATTTCCATCAATGTATTGTGCTGGCATGAAAGGATCGCTCGAAATGATGTTTGGGATCTCGTCTGCAAATTCTCCTTCGGGGTCTTGGAGCCGGGCAATACTCTGAAGCGATTTATAGGTGTTTGAGGCATCTGATTGTTCATGGTTACTCAGACGCTCAGCATGGAGAAAGTTGTGCTCCTCTTCCTAGCAGCTCTGAAAATGCCGCAACTGCAGCGCAAGTTTCCGAGCAACAGAAGGGTCTTCATCGACAACATTCTCGCCTTCGCAGATATCTTCAATTAATGGCGAATCCGTTGCATTGCCATGATACGCTTCTTCATTTTCGAGTTGTGGATATTGTTCTTGCAACATTGCGGAGTTGGCTTCCTGTTCATTGCAGAGTCGCCGACCTGCTGCCTGTGTAGAAATATCGCGTGTATCATTGAGATCCTCGTCATCATCACCGTTATCGTCACCGTCATCGTCATCGAAAATCGCTATGTTGTAGTCGTCCCCCATATGATACATAGACTCGGAAAAAGAGCCTGGTTCGACATCATTTGGTTCGTGATCTAATCGCGGTAGCCCTAAAGCTTTGTCTTAGAGGGGCGGTAGGGATGTGTCTGCTGGAGACGTTGATCCTGACTGTTGTCTAATATCTCCGTCTCTAGAATCGTGCCTTGCGTCGATGATTGCTCCCGTGAAAGGCTGGACAGATGTGGGTTAGCATATGCGAATGAGGTTCTAGAAGTCTTTGAGAAGGGACGTACTTGAAGTCCTTCAGAGTCTCTGGCAACTAAAATTATATTTGCTCCTTCGTTCTAATGCGCCTCATTTGTAGGTCTGCGTATCAGCTTTGCTTCCCCTGTTGCCTTTGCACGTCTCCTTGCTCTATGAGCAGCACTGCGTACGGCTGCTTTCTTGCGATTTGCTCGATTGAGTCGAGTCTAGACAGATACTTTAGGGGCCGTCCCCTACGGTGTATATTTTAGGTCTACAATGCATTTAAAAGGGTTCCTGTGGCCGGACATCCTTATCGGCGCATCAGGACAAAGAGTTTGATTTATTAATCCTTCCTCTAGGTTAGGGGTAGTTTGATTTAAACACCTTAGGTAGGAATAGTTTAATTTAATCGCCTTAGGCGGGAATAGTTTGATTTAATCATCCTTAGGCATAAAACTACAACTTAATTACTTCTCTATAATAGATGGTTTATAACTTTAGATGCTACGATCCATTACATAATGATTCTAGGTGTAAGTAGTATAAGGATACCTCCTTACTTAGGTTAGTTATAGCTGTTATATAGCGCCCTTAAGACTTGGGGCTGTTATAGTTTAATTACAACTATAAGCCTTAGGCATATAGCATAAGGAAGCCTTAGGCAAATAGGGAGTTAGTAGAGTTAGAGGGGTTTTAGGTATTTAAGGAAATAGGAATAGAGGGTTATACCTTTATCTTTTTTATATCCTTTATAGTAGACCTATAGGATAGAGTATAGCATTACCTCTAACTTATACTCCTATATACACTTATAAAGAGCTGTATTCCCTATAGAAAATTACTTTAGCATCCTATTAGAGTACGCTAGTACTCTTTTAAAAAACAGGCCGTTGGTAGTAAGGGAGGTACGTACTAACGTAGGGTAGACGGGGCGGGCCGCTACCCGTAACTGCAACTGCGACTACAACTGCAACCACAACAGCGACCGCGACCGCTACTTACGACCTGCTACCTCGAACCACCGCGCATTAAATATCAATTACATTGTTAAAGCTAAAACCTCGAAAACAACTCCATCTAATGCGCACGCATTGATAGTGCCTACGTATAAACTCTTATAATTTTAAAATCGCTCCTTATAGACAATGTACTCCCCTCCTCTTAGCGTCGCACGTTAATCCTAAAACCGACGGCAAACGATTCGCATGTACTCTCCTACAAATATGTATAATTTTAAAATCGCTCGTCGTACTCCTATAACGTCACATATAATCATAGCAAACTGTTCGCACACGTCGAAGATACCCTCTACGAATTTGCGCAATTTTAAAATCGCTCGTCGTCGCGTTGGCAACGCCCATTTCCGCGTTATGGAGATCGCGCCAAGACCATCTATATCATCAAAACCCCCTATAATTTTCGCAATTAGCCTCTCCCCTACGTTACACCCGTTACACCCCTATAAACCACAAAATGGCCTCCGACGATGTATACCCCCTCTTTATGCTTGACGACAACAAAATCCTCCATGGTATCGTCGTTACATGGACCCTCCGCTTCAACGACCTTCTCGACGCCGACCGCCTCCACACCTCCCTCTGCCGCCTCCTCTCGATCGGCGACTGGAGAAAGGTCGGCGGACGCCTAGTCCGAAAGGTATCCCCTACCTCCCTCGAAATTCACGTCCCCCCTCAGTTCACCCCCGCACGCCCCGCCCTCACCTACTCCCACACGGCCAACCCCTCTGACATCGACGACCACCCCCTCGCTAAGACCCTCCCAAAGGCCACGCCCACCCCCTCCATCCAGCGCGGCTCCAACGAATTCCGCGACTTTGAATGCCGTAAAGACGCTCCTGCCACCCTCGAGGACTACCTCATCAACGACACGCCCATCCTCTCCCTCCACATCACCTCCTTTAATGACGCCACCATAATCGGCCTAACATGGCCGCACGTCCTCATGGACGTCATGGGCCAGCAGGCTCTCCTGCGCGGCTGGTCGCTCGTCCTAGCAGGAAAGGAGTCGGAAGTCCCAGCCCTCCTCGGCGCACGTGAGGACGCCCTCTTATTCCCCGACAACCAAGAAGTCTACCATCCCCAACGCCTTCAAGGATTCGGCATGTTCAAGTTCGGACTGCGATTTGTCGCCGACCTCCTCTGGAATCGCGTCGTCGAGACACGCACAATCTTCCTGCCAAAGGCGGCCGTGGCCAAACTACAACTCCAAGCCCAAGAAGACCTCTCCGGCGAGTTCGTCAGCGAAGGCGACGTTCTAACAGCATGGGCGACGCGTGCTGTGGCCTCATCCATGCCACCTCGTCCCATAACCGCCCTACACCCCCTTAACCTGCGATTCCGTCTTCCATCCCTCATCGAGGCTCCCGGCGTCTTCGTGCAGAACATGGCCGTCTCAGCCTTCTCGCTCTTCACGCCTGAACTCCTCCGAGGACCCCTCGGACCCATTGCGCTCGAGAATCGGCGCCAGCTGATGGAGCAGGCGACAGAGCCTCAATTGCTCGCCTTGTTACGCGAGATGAGACAGAGCTACACGCCTGGCAGCGACACAACCGTTCTCTGCGGCGAGTCGCATGCCCTGCTGATGCCGTTTACGAACTGGACCCGAGCAAACGTCTATCAGGCGGCTGATTTTAGCTCAGCAGTCGTACGCGCTGGTGAGGGAGACTCGAGGAACAACCCGCCCGGCACCATTGTGTACCAGCACGCCAATTCAATGCGATCGAGCCCGACGATGCGAAATGTCGTTGTCATACATGGCAAGGACCACGGTGACAACTACTGGCTGACCGCGCTTCTGCTCCCGGCCGCTTGGGCGAAGATTGAGGAGGAGATTAAGAAGTTGTAGGCGGGATCTGTTCGTTCGCCGCCGATTCCATTTCTCCGCGTTACCGAGAGCATCTAGTGTAGGTGGACATCTGTCCGTTTGTCGCCGATTCTATTTCTCCACGACACTGAAAACGATACTGAGAGCATTTAGAGTTGGAATCAGAGAGATGTGTTTTAGCCCCTGCTATCGAGGACGAGTGTTTGGCTTTTAGATCGACGGGATATGCTTCGGCTCCTAATATCGAAGAGTGCGTCGACGCCGAAATGGACTCGGCAGGTTAATTCTAAATCTCTGTGCATAATCATAGAATCGTTTCTGTTTTTTAGACTAGACTAATAATTTATACTTCTATTTTCCGTATTTCACGCCGCTCTATTCGGACGTTCAACTACCCCTTACTCACCCGCCCTTCGCCCCCGTTAAACCTTCAACCACGGCAACTCCTCCTTCGAATACCTATACGCCCTAAACAGCGCATTCGACTCGCCAGGAAAGATCCCCCTCGTGATATCATCCTTGTACTCTGCAAAATGCGGCACAATATACTCCCAAACCAACACCCCCTTCACCGTCACCTCGAAGATCCTGCCAAACGCGCTCTCGCAGATGAGCGTATTCCCATTCGCCAACCTCTGCGCGCTCCCCATAAACGGAGTGAAAAAGGTATTCCACTGCGACGGGTCCCTATACTGCCACACAATTTCTTTCGTCCTGCGGTCCACCTCAATAACCCTGCTATATGTGTTCGACTCGCCCGTGCGGTATGCGCCGTTGTCGAAGATCAGGATATTTCCGTTCTCGAGCTCCGTCGCACAATGCTGCTGTGCAATAACGTCCGACTTCAAACTCCAGATGATGTTTCCAGTCGCCCGCTCAATGATGAGCACAGCAGAAATCGATCGCATAGAACACAGAATATTTCCATCCTTCAACGGAAGAACACTGTTAATTAGAGGATAGTGCTCCCTCCCGTAATGTGACTGCAGAGGAAACTCCTCCCTTGGCAACCGCTCGCTGACTTTCCACTCAAAGGTCACCTTTCCTTTAGGGTCAATCTCCTTGATGATGTCCGCATACGTCACGCCGTCAATCTCCGAACCTGGAATCCCGCCAACAACCTTGGCCGAGTCTTCCTTCGAAAGCGCCTCCAAACTCGTATACAGGAAACCTCCATCCCCATAATGGAACTGGTCGTGATGGCCCAGAGGATCCTTGACCTGCCTGACAACATTCCCGGCTGGATCCAACTCGCTCATAACACCCCCGCCATATTTATGGATGAAGGGGAAGATGTCGGGCGTCTCCGGGTTGATAGTGTTGATGGCGAGATTTCCGTTGGGGAGAATCCGCGCGTGTCGTCCAGTTCGGCCAGGCAATTGCCAGCGATGAACTTCCTTTCCGTCGATATCAACGAGGTATGCAATATCCCCGGCTAGAGGCGCAAAAAGAGTGTATCCTCCAAAAGTCTGCTCCTTGTCAACGCCCCTTAGGCCGACCCCGCCTCTTTTGATGGTGTTTTGCTCCATTTTGTCCGAATTGTCAGTCAATTGAAAACGGGAAACACCCCTTCTTATCTCTTCCAGCCTCTAAACATAACCCCGCTATCATTTTGGCGCCGTTACCGGCGATCAGGAACCCCCACGATGAATCTCTAACAATTGACCTAGATTTCGGTGACCGGCGACGACCGGGTAGTCCCCACCACGTGCAATCGCGTGCCGCCAACTTCATTCCCCGCGTAAGCCAATAAGCTTCTCTCCGCATGTTGCCATTTCTAGGGTAAATCAACTTAAATGGCGTCTTCACGCCTTCGTGAGTATTTTTTAACTTTTGCCATATAAATCGTTCAAATTCGTCGTGTTTGAATGTTTTCTTTTACGGTGGTATACGGCTCTCTGCTCCTTTTTAAATGCGACGGATTGAATAATGCTGGCTGTCGACCCCATGCATTCAAACTCTTATGAAGAGTGCATACGTCAGCTCAGAATCTCCTCTCATTGGGCTAATAGATAAGGTATACCGAAGATGATCAAGCCACAAACGTGGTTGGGACGTTGACTTATTGGTCGGATATGGCGTATCTTCCCATCACCCTGCTCTACTTATCTCCGTAATGGCCAGTGCTGATAGCGACGGGGTTGTAACGATGTCGGAATCCAGCGCGCCATGGGATATGAGATGAGATGCCTCTTAGATACAAATATAGGGCCCTGCCGAGAGAATGTCATTCATTTCAGAACCCCCATAGTCTAAAATGGCCTCCCCTGCATTGCCCGTGGCAGAAATAACGACCCAACTAGCATCTTCTCACCTCGAAAAGAAAGAAGATGCCACTCCCCTCCAGCTGCTGGAAATCCCCGGCTATGACCAAGACCTAAGCTGGTCCATCCACGAGGAGCGTGTTGCGGTCCGCAAGGTCGACCTCTGTATCCTCACCTTCATCGTCCTGCTCTTCACATTCATGCAATTCGATCGAACCAACATCTCCGCCGCTCTCACAGACACCCTTCGCACCGACATCAATGTAAACACGTCTCAGATCAACACTGCCCAGACTCTCTTCATCTTGGGCTTCATTCTCACCGAAATCCCATTCAACATCATTACGAAGAAGATAGGGGCCGAGACATGGCTACCCATCACCATGTTCCTCTGGGGTGTGTGCACATGGTGCCAGATCTTCATGAAGAGCGCTAGTGGCCTATTTGCCTTGAGGTTCTTCATAGGTGCTATGGAGGGCGGATATATTCCTGGTACATACCTACGTCCACTCTCACATTCGTCCCTAACTTTATAGGAATGGCACTTTACATCTCCCGCTACTACACCAACCCTGAACTTGGCCTCCGCTTCGCCCTGTTCTGGGCCAGCAACGCAGTCGCAGGTTCCCTGTCCGGGCCCCTTTCTCTCGGCCTTCTCTCCCTCAGCGGCACCCACGGACTGAAGGGCTGGCAATGGCTGTTCCTTATCGAGGGCGCCGTCACCTGCTTCCTGGCTGTCGTGGCATACCTCTACCTGCCTCATTCAGCTCCCAAACCAAAGTCGTTCTTCGGAAAGAGCTGGAACATCTTCACCGAGCGAGAAGCGGCCATCTTGACCACCCGAGTTCTGAGAGACGACGCAACTAAGGGGTACACCCAAGGCAAGTCGGTCCAGATTCAAGACTTGAAAGATACGTTCATGGATTGGAAAATCTATGGACACGTTGTGTCTGCGTTCCTGTCAATGTAAGCATTCCACCCCGACGACAAGTCCAAGTCTAACTCTCACAGGCTTATGATCTATCCCATCAACACCTACGCACCGTCGCTCATAAAATCCCTCGGATTCGGTGGCTACAACGCCAATGGCCTCAACTCAGTCGGCTCTGTCGTCTCTCTCATAATCTCCATCTCAATTGCATGGAATAGTGACCGTACCCAAGAGCGTGGTTTCCACATTGCCTTTGGATTCTGTGTCGGCATTGCGGGTCTGTTGTGGACTGCCCTGGCGCCAGTTTCCTCTTCGAAATGGGTTGTTTATGGTGAGTCTAGTCTTCCCAACTCGCAGTAATAAACTAACCAGATAGGTGGAATCGTCCTCACCCAAGCTGGCATGGGTTCGACGCAAGCGCTCAACGCAGCGTGGCTTTCGAGTGTAGTAGACGACAGAAAACGACCTATTGCATTGGCAATGTACGTTATGGGCATCCAGCTCGCTGGCTTCCCTGGAAATCAGCTATTCCGACAGCAAGATGCTCCGAGATACAGCAGAGGCTTGATCATTGCTGCAGCCTGTGCAGCCGCCGGAGCGGTGATCGTGTTGGTATGGAAGGGGATTTATGCATTTGTGGAGAGACGACAAAATAGGAGCCCTGTGAATGTCACAGAAAGCCCTCGCAGTGAAGAGAGCGCGTGGGGCGAGAAGAAGTGAAGACTGCTTGTATAATATGATATCTCTAGAATGCCTCTTTAGCGACAAGAACCAAACATAGGATTAGATAGAACGATGCAAATCCCTTACCACGACGCCGCCTGTTTTGGTGAAATGACCTTGTTTCTTCTAAATATTGCGTTACGCTCCGTTCAACATCCCTCTCAAACTTCATTGTTTACAAAACGTGCAAATAGATGGCAAATTATATGTCATTTTTAAATATAGACAATAATAACTTTGGCAGCTCTACTGTGCACCATTATCACCCCCCTAACAGCTGCTAGAGATAGATCCCTTGCAGTAGGTTCCGTCAAATCCTGACCCAATCTTTGGGGGCTCAGCTCCACTGGCGTTGCCCGTATATCTATCGCAGCCCTTGCCACTGTTTTGGCAAGAGTTCGTGATTGTGCAAGTGTCGCCATAGTTGGTGTTGATGCCGCAGATGACTCCGCCGTTGATGGCCATGATATTGTCGAAAATAAAATTGCGAGGGCCACCATTGCCGCTGCAGTTGCCGCAGCTTCGAGCAACCTTTCCATAGTCGTTGGCGTAGAAGTTCTTCACGGAGACCGTTCCGCGGCCGTTGAATTGGATGATTTTGTCAGAGGCCTTGAATGCACCTCCTCCGTTGATGTAGGATGTGCCGCTAGCCTGCTTGAATGTGCTATTCACAGTTATAAGGGGTGTTAGGCATAAAAGTCGGCATCACTTACATGGCATCCTCACAGACGTCAGACCACCAGACGTTATTGATTGTGCTAAAAAATGTCAGCTTCCAAATATTAGAGGCAAGTCGGATCTTTGACATACCACTTTCCCTTGCAGTGGACACCCTCAGCTTGGTTTGGACCAATTATAACGTTGGAGAGCGTGGCACCATCCTCAAGGATGAACATGGCATCCGCCTCACCAGTCTCCGTCTGTCCAGCACAAACCGCGGCTGTATGTTGTTAGAGCCGTGAATACACGCCAAGGGGCGAGGACCACACTTACGGCTTCGGTCGTACATCTTCATGCCACCATCGAAGCTACCGGTGACGGCAATAGCCTTGTTAGTGGCAACTATCACAGGTCAGCTATGCCATAAACGAATGCAGAATGCTACACACCAGCGCCCGAGGACTTGGGCAAGGTCGTGGTAAGGCCAGTCGGTGTGGCGCCGCCGCTGCCGCCACCAGCTGCCGTAGTCGTTGGCACGAGTGTGGTTGCTGGTGCACCTCCTGCTCCAGTCCTAAACTTTGTCAGCGACTCCCCGCAAAACGATACGTTCGCCCTCACCAGTAGCATGAGCACTCCTTGCTGATCTGGCTAGGCTTGCTGTCGCAGTTGGTGGCCCATGCAGGCAGGCCAGTGGTGGCAGTGACGACTTTCGTTGTGAACGTGCCGCAGTATGGCGAAGCAACAGCCTGGTTCGACTTGATATAGCTGGCGCATGAGTTGGTGTCTGGGTTGGAGCATCCCAGAACAACGGGGATCAGGCCCAGGATGGCGTAGCGGAAGTTCGTCATGGCTAGATCTTTCTGTGCAAAGAATTGATAGACAGTGTAATGCAATTGGAGCGTCTAATCCTTGTATGAACCTTGCTGAGAGGATGAGGTGATCGCCCGCAGCTCTTATAGTTCGGCGTTTTCAAGCATCGCTATAGAGAACATTACAAGGAAAAGAATGCCCCGTTCATTCCCACCAATTGATGGAGGTTGTCCATGATAGAGTTTGTGCTAAAGACCTGACAGATTAACGTCGATCAATGGAAGAGTCGGGATTCACTACTCAAGGCACGAACTGTAGAGCCAAGACGCGATTCTTGAAGCCAAGTTGGCCGACTATATAGCCAAGAGAACATTAATTACTCTGAGGTTGGCATATAAAGGCCACCAATCGAATAGACCCTTCGTTTACTTCCATGCGCGACTCCGAGCAGCTCCGGCAGCTCGTGCAGTGGCTCATGCACCCCAGATGTAACGGCAATATCAAAGTTAATATCTGGAAGGGGGCTTGGCTCTTTGGCATGGTCTGCCCGTCTATCCGCTATCCGCTGAGAATTCTCCGAAATGGCGGGGGAGTCACTTGACTTCAACGACGGTGTATGACGATATTTTAATTATTCCGTTCACAGGCAAGATATCGTCGGTCATTGAAGCCGTTGAAGTCGATGAAGTCGGGCATCGAGGCGCATTCAATCGTCGTATACAAATCAGTTCTCCACAGCCCTCAGTCTATTTCCATCCAGCTTCTCGTGTCCGAGCGGTGATGAGACCCACGCCCAAATTATATTGGCCTCGATAGCTGTAAAAACATATCCACTCACGTTTCACTAGATGTTCTAGGCCCACGGAAAGAAATGCAAAGTCAATGCCAATAAAATCAAATCATAAAATATAAAATCGCTTCAGGTTCGCTTCTACCATCTCATTTGATCTTACAAAATACACATCATCATGACGCCCCGCCGGTGGACCGTGGCCGTCTCAAAACCATGTCGGCACAGAAATACAGTCCAAAGCCCCGTCTATTCGCAACCTCATACCAAAACTGCCAACCCCATCATACATGCCTAGGCATGGCCAAAGTGAACGCGCTTAATCAATCTTAATCGATCCGTAAATCTTCTGTACGAACATCCAGCTTGCAAAGAAGCCAATGGTGCCTGTCGAGTTAGCTTTAGTCACAAGAAGGAGAAAGTCAGGACATACCGGTGAGAATAAAAAACAAAAAGCTGATCAAAGCACTGTATCCCAAGTAAAGAACCCCACCTGTCAACCCTCCCAGCTGCAACTTCGTCACCCAATACGCAACCGCGTGCAAGAACACGTAAAATGCGCTCGTGCCGGCAGCAAGGAACGCGCGCCAGTGCCAGTGGTAGTTCTCTGAGCACAACAGGAAATACACCAAAAGGATCGTGACCGCAGCGCACGTGACAATCATAAGCCCATAACAGAGGAAAAGGAAACCAAACATGTAGTAGACCTTGCTGAACCAGATGGACGACATGATGAAGAAGAGCTCCACAAAGATAGCGGCAAACGGCAACAGACCAACAAGAAGCATGCTGGGAATAGGGCGCAGCCATGTGGTTCCTGGAGGGATCTGGCGGGGAATCTGGTTCGTCCGCACAGGAGCAGCAACGGCCTGCTGTCTAAATCCAACCCAGGATCCGGCGAAAGACAATGGTACAGAAATCACAAACCAAATCGCCACGACGACGACCATGGTTGTGAATGGAACAGCACCGCTCGACCCATTAACCCAGAGGAAAAAGTTGAGGAGGAAGAAGGTGCAGAAGACGAGTCCAGGAACGAGGAGGGGCGTCAGTCCGATGTTGAGTTTCCATGCCTCCCCACCAAAAGACTTGTAGACTCGAGCAGAGGCGTAGCCGCCAATGAATCCGAACAGGGTGTAGAGAATGATCATGACGGAGCCGAGCGAGCCGCGGTTGGAAGGAGACAAAAATCCCAAAAGCGCAAAGGCAATCGTGGCGCCGGTCATCACAAATAGCTGCGCCCCATTTCCGAGGAAGACTGACAGCATTAGGGAGTACTTTGGAGCGCGGAAAACATCGCCATGCACTAGCTTCCACCCAGAGTCCTCCTGCACACCGTCCTCAAGAGCGGCCGAGGTTCCCGAGAAGTCCTCGAGATCAATAGAGTCAAGGCGGTTGTAACGTGCAATATCCTTCTTCAGGGCACGGTACAGGATGGACACAACCGTCAGGGACAGGAAGACGAGGATGATGGCGGAGTTGATGAGAGAGAACCAGTGGATCTTCGGATCAAAAACGTGCAGATACTTGTCCCATCGTGTGCCCCATGCTGTTGGCGACGGACGCCAGTACACACCATATGTCCAGGTCACAGTCGTCTCGTGGTCCGTTGCCAATTGCATTGGCGTTGACGCATCACCACAGTCAGGGGTCCCGTCGTGCACACCTGAATTGGCTCTTGACGACGGCTGGACGAGCACACCGACAACTCGGAACTGGCCCGTCGTAGACTCATGGTAGTCTATGAGGATATCGTAATGGTTGTTTAGTGCCGGTGGGCTAATTTCTGAGTTCCCAAGCTTAAAGCCCTGGCTATAGAATTGGGTCTTCGTTTTGTCGACCTCCAACAACTGCCCCGCTGGCAATCCATCCACCAGCCAGTTGAGATCGAAATCTCTAAATATCTTATCATTCGTAAAAGCTGCCGACCCCACGTCGAATTTTACAGGATTGCAGGCTGCCTTGCACGTTTCATTCACTCCCATCTTCAGCTCAAAAGGGGACGTCTTGATTCTGTCGCCAAATATGATGCTGCCCAAACTTTCCGGTCGGTCTTCGGGTTCTGGGTCTGGCCGGCAGAATTGGAACATTGGGTGGTAATAGTCATACGGCACAATAGACCGTAGTGCGCCATCCTTCTGTGAAGCTGAAGCTGTCAAAGCATTGACATATAGCGGGACACTGTCGCCTTCGGCGTATGATGTTGGTGCGACTCCAGGAAGATAAAATGCTGAGGAGAGCTGAGGCGCAGCAGCAAGAAGTGTCGCCAGCAGCGCATGCGAGGGTGAGAGGTCTCGCAACAGCATGATTGCGGATGTCCGAATCTGTAATTTGCCGTTGTCAGTAAGAGTTGCGTCCGGTGTCTGCCGGTGTCGCAGGATTGATGGTTTAAAATTGAAAACACTCACAAGCTTCAATCCTGAATTTGTTATTCTCCCATCCACTCACTTTGTAGACTGTTGTTGTCGTGAACGACGATGAGAGCTTGTGAAGTCGAAGCAACCTGTCTCCTTGCCAAAACAACTGGGTACCTATCTCAGGAACATCCATCCGTACTTTAGACAGGGGTCGGCTAAACTATTATCCGTCCGCGACAATCCTTATCGCAACAAAATGCTTTGAACATTTTTTTACAGCACCAGATTTCACGTCTCATCGCAACCATGGCGCTCGACAACTCCCTGCCTTCATTGTTGGCAACCCTCACACAGGCGCTCGTATCCTCCGAACAGTCTGCGCCCGAATTGGACTCTATTGCCCCCCCGAAAGATGGCATCTCCCTCCTCGATGTCAAGAATGAACTTTTACTGTCATACCTTCAAAACCTCGTCTTCTTGATCCTCATCAAACTGCGCGACTACAACAGCGACGAGTCAGATGATGAAGAGGCGCAGAGCATTGACGATGAGGTCGTTCAAAAGCTGGTTGAGACCAGGGTTTATCTGGAAAAGGGCGTCAGGCCGCTCGAGGCGCGACTGAAGTACCAGATCGACAAGGTTCTTCGCGCCGCCGACGATGCAACGAGGGCCAATCTCCCAGCGTCGAGAGGACCGTCGAACGCTATCACGAGAGACTCGGATGTATCCGACGATTCAGATGTTGAGGAAGACGCTGGAGGTGTCGAGGCGCAGGCGGCTCAGATCGACGACCTGCAATACCGACCAAACCCCGCAGGGCTCGTGCGACCCGCAGACTCTGGTCTCGAATCTCATAGCGCAAAGGATATGGATGGCGTCTATAAACCTCCTCGAATCAACCCCACAGTCATGCCTACCACCGGTCCACGGGAGAAGGCAGACAAGAGGCCCCAGAAGTCCGCAACTTTGGACGAGTTTATCAGCACAGAGTTGTCCGAGACGCCATTCGCGGAGCCCAGTATTGGAAGTCAGATCATCGCTGGTGGACGACGCTCGCGATCCGACAAGGAGCGCAAGGAAGCCGAGGAGCGCAAGGAGTACGAAGAGAAGAATTATACCCGTCTGCCCAAAGAGAGCAAGAAAGAGCGTGCCAAGAAGGGAGGAGTCAAGGATGCTGGCTACGGTGGCGAGGAGTGGAGAGGTTTGGGCGAGGGTATTGACCGCATTGAGCGGCTCACAAACAGGACATCCAGCTCTACCAGGACCGCCTTGGAGAAGAGCAGAAAGCGTGCCGTGGAGGATGGACCCCGAGCTAGTGGCGGCGTGGAGGTTGGAGAGAAGTTCCAGAAGAGACTCAAGACTCTGGATGGAGGACGAAGGGATAGGGGACGGAGATAGGCTGTTGTGGGTAGATATAAATGTTACAAAAGCATCCCAACATGGACGCACGATTCATAAGCTGAACTGTCGATCTCATCATGTGATTCCACCCAACGAGTTTGCGCTCCTATATAAACCTCTATTCATCATCGTCATCCATATCATCCAACAGATCCAATCCAGTAAAAACCTTTGGCTTCTCCTCCACCCTCTGGCCAGCTGCACCCATGGCCTCCCTCCGTGCGTGTTCCTCCCGCATACGCTGCTCTTGCCTTGCTCTCTCTGCTTCCTGCTGCTCCTCCTTCGCTCGCTCGGCCTCCTCCTCCAATCTCTTCCGTGACGCCTCCAGCTCTGCACTGCGTTCTGGATCAAACGTTGCCGGGTCTTCACCCTGGTCAATGAGAACCTGTATGCTCGCTAGCGCACCTCGACGAATCGTCTCTTCGGTGGGCCACGGAACGAAGCCCGGCGCAGAATTATGAGGATTCAGCCATTCTGCAATTTGGGGCGGTAAAGAGGTTTTATCGGTGTCGGCTTGAATGGGCGTGACTGGCAGTTCTGCGACATTCACGACAGCGCCATTCGATGGGGCAGTGGGTGTGACGGTACCGTTTGTCTGGGTGCCAGTGCCTTCGGGTTCGGGAGTTGGCTGTGCCTCACGGTATGTAGGTGGGAGCGTGAACTTGCTGATCCTACGCGCGTACGAGAGAAGATCGGTGTAGGAGACCGAGGTTGTGGTGCTTGGGAACGTCGTTGCGGGGGTGGAGAGCAGCTCAGAGCGCGTGGATGAAAGGAGCTGGAGGGATCCCTTTATCTGCGCGTCAAGGTCGGAAGAGGTATTCTTGAGGGATTGGATGCGTGCATAGTTGGCTTGATGTGTTGCTACTGCAGACTTGTTAGATTCGGTGGCTTCAACAGCGAAATGGGGCAGATCATACAGTCGGCCAAGCCATGGCTCAGTTCTTGATCGGCAGCAACGAGATCGTGGGCCAAGACGGGATTGGGATTGTATGTCGAGATGGAAGCAACGAGAGTAGCCAAGGCCTTCTCTACCCGCAAAAACTGCGCGTCCACGGTTTTATCCATCTGGAGATAGCGTGTTGGAACTTTCTGGGTGAATTATGGTGATAGGACGAGGACTGAGAGACTCAAAGAGAGCTTTGACGAATAACAACACTGGACTGGAAGCTTAGCCACAATCACATCACGTGACTGTCTCCCATTCCTTATCCTCCGTCCTCCGTCCTCTGGTGTTCCAGACACAAAATAGCAGGTGGCACTTCTGATAAATTGCACAGCCTCAATACGGTGACCTAGAGTGAGCAGCAGTGCAGCCTGTGGGGCTTTTCCCCCTCCATTGTGCTCTCTTGTGCCTGGCTTGCCTCGTCGTCATTGCCTGGAGGGCTCTCCCCTCACCTACATATATGCTCTTATAAATCGTGATATTTCTGTACATTTCCACAGCTGCTCTTAAAACAAACATTCACGCTTTGATAGACCCCTTAAAAATCCTCAAATTATCTCCGCACGACATCGCCGCTCGTACGTCTTACAAAGTTGTTTCAGGGTCTATAAACTGCGACAGGCGCTTATTTCGACGTCACCCCGCCATCATCCCGAAGGGCAGTAAGCGACACGACACGAACGAAGCCAACACTGCACTGTAAACTCTTGCCGTGGCACTTCCTCCTCTATAACAACGACCAACGCGCCTGCTTGTCTGGCTCTTTCTGACATTCAAAACCAACTGGCGACCATTCACAAGCTCGCTCTAGCCAACTCTCCAATTGACGTGAGCGGTGGATTGCAAGGCCTAGCCCTGTGCCTTCCGAGGACCGTCAAACAGACATAACTGCGAAACAACACGCTGAGCTCGCCTGAATCCAGCTACGAGATATGGGGAAATCGTAAGTGTCTCTCTCAGGGTGTAGCACTAGTCAAAACGGTTTGGTCTCGAGTGATCTGGCAGGAGAGGGCGACAAGTGGCTGCGACCACAGCTCAAGGACACGCGGTTTCTGTTCGACTGCTAACACATCCCTCCAGGCAGTCGAAGCTGTCCCAAGAGCAGCTCTCGGAGTTGCAGCGTTCTACCCATTTCGACAAGAAGGAGCTCCAGCAATGGTATAAGGGTTAGCAGAATCTCCCGGCTGGCACACCACATGGTTATAACTGTCCATAGGCTTCCTCAAGGATTGTCCCTCGGGCATGCTCACAAAGGAGGAGTTCCAAAAGATCTACCGCCAATTCTTTCCATTTGGGGATCCATCCTCCTTTGCAGACTATGTTTTCAATGTCTTCGACAGCGATAGATCTGGCTCCATTGATTTCAAGGAGTTCATTTGTGCTCTGAGCGTCACCAGCAGAGGCAAGATGGAAGACAAGCTCGACTGGGCCTTCCAGCTGTACGATATCGACGGAGATGGAAAGATCAGTTACGACGAGATGCTGGCGATTGTAGAGGCGATATATAAGATGGTAGGCACCTTTCCGCTAATCATACGAGAATTTATGAATAACCCTCCCCAGGTTGGCTCCATGGTAAAGCTTCCAGATGATGAGGACACGCCAGAAAAGAGAGTCAAGAAGATCTTTCGCACGATGGACAAGGATGAGAATGGAAGCCTGGATATTGAAGAGTTCAAGGAGGGCAGCAAGCGCGATGAGACCATCGTTTCTGCTCTATCTCTTTACGATGGACTTGTTTAGAAAGATATGAGTGAGCGGGATACAAGTGTATTATGCCATTATGACCACTGCGTGCCCCAATGCGTTTTTATGTCCTCAACCAGGTGCAGTTCCCTGGCGTCACGCGGATTTCTAGGGAGACTTGAATATCCAATATTTTTGTAGCGGCCTATCGTTTGTCCTCCATTTCGCTATGTCTGAAGTGAATTCATAGTGACCTGTTTTGCATCCACTCGAGTGAGCCTTAGTCTGGACTCACCTCTAAAACACTCTTCCTTTAGTAATATAATCCCAACGTACAATCCAAACACAACTCTTTTCTTTATCATTTGACTGCTTCTGCTCAAAGCTTCGACCGTCCCCAAACTTCGATCTTGAACAATCAAACAAAGATTGCTTATCTCTCCACAACACGCGTCTCGTCTGCTTCTCGCCTCGATCACCTCACAACAACACCCCGAACCCCAAAATCCGCAAACATAGGTCATATCTGTAGTCCGATGACGAAACAAGATAAAGACCCAGATGGCCTCGAGCCTGTCGAACCTCGCCCTCGTGGACCTCCACCTCAAACCAGGTCGCAACGCCCAAGTGGAGATCCAAGCCCGTCAGGCTCAACCAAAACAGCTCCCGTCACACCTGCAGCCCAGTCAGCTCACAAGCCGGAAATAACTAGTGGACTGGGAACAGCTGGTAAACAGGATAACCCAAACATCATCGCACAACAATCTCCCACGTCCACACAGCATCTTCACAGGGCTTTGCAACAACCTGCTCCCGATCAAGCAAAGCATGGCTCATCTTCTCAACAACCTCCGCCACCCCCGCCACCCCCAAACGTCATCTTCGACGACGAATTCAGGGAAGCACAGGATATCACGTATGAGAAACTATGTGAAATGGTAAAGGATTCGGATCTGGACTCATTCCTCGCGTTCAGAGACCAATTGTTGGCGGTGGAGGAAAGCCTTGGCCCTGGTTCCAACTATTTACCTCTAAAACAAAGCCTTTACAGGATAGAGCTCGCCATACGAGGGGCTAACATTCTCAAATCCAATCGAGAGACTGCTGCTGCTTCTCAAGTGTCTAGCACTGAACTCAACGTCCCTGAGGTGGGAACTTCGGCCACTGTTGAAGCCGAACCATCAAAGAAGAGAAGGAAAAGGAAGAAAAGGACGGGTCACGAGGTCGTGATCGCAGATTCAACAGACGGCGAGACCGCATCCGCTGATACAGCAAAGATCAATATTCACAATGACCCTTGGCCCTGGGAAGATAATGACGCGGATCTCGAGCAGACCAATCGAATTGAATCCTCCCTAGCCGAACTTCAAAGTGCTCCCGATTCAGCTGCACAGCTCGAGGAAGACTTAGAAACGGAGGAATTACTTCCCCCAGGTGATGCAGAAGCTCCAAAGAAGAAAGGCAAGAAGAGAAGAGGCAAGAAGAAAGCTCAAGGCGGCATCGATAAAGGGAAACAATTGGCAGAAGATAAAAGTCCCGCCGCAACTGCATCTTCTTATTCGCCCAACCTCCCAACTGCTGCCCAAGCCAGTGCTGAGCATACATGTGACCACAAGCAACACTCACGATGCAGCCATACCACCTGGAAGAACGACGATACAACCTTCAGCAAGGTCCTAGCAGAAACCATCCGTGAGCTGCTTTCGGACACGCCGCTGGATTCAAAGCTCAAACTCGAGCTACATGTGGATATGAACAAGGTCAAAAGGCGAGTGGACGAGATTGAAGCTGCAGATGGCGATGCCACCATATTGCGCACCAAAAAACCGCTGTCCACTGTCAGTAATAAGGCCCCTTTCTCGGCATTTGGAAAAGTGGCCACCCCAAAAGAGCAGCGAGCCGCGGCAATTCACCTATTATCATCGCCGAAATACTACAACGCATTCCTCGATTACATAGAACACCTCAATTACCTCGTTGCATGCGGAGATGAGAAGGCGGCGGCCATGGCAGATGAAGCCGACTTGGTTTACAATGTTGTCACAAAGGTCTACAAGGAAGTGAGCGACAATACGCGATCTAAAGTCGACGATACACCTCTCGTCGAGAGCGCGACCCATGCCAGACGTCTTGCAGAGTCGGCCAAGAAAATGAAAGAACTACAGGAGCTTGAACAAGGGATACGCCAGCCTGATGATCCTACTCCAGCCACTGAGAGTCCCCGTCCAGTATCCGCTCAAACGATCAAAGACAATACACCTTCATCAGCTGAACTGGAAACCAAGGCTATGTCTCTCATTAAGCAGCCACCAGTGTTGCGTCGCTTTGTTGCCGATTATAATGCGATGAGAACGAACTCGGATGCCTACGGTTCGTTTTGGGACAGGAATCGCACCTTTTATATCAGAAGCTGGTGGATATGAAAGCTGTGCCGAAGCTCCAGAAGCAACCTTTCAGTCTAGTTGGTCGCAAAGCGCCATCGATGCACCCTGTGGCGAATTTTGAAAAGGAATCGTCGAGTAAAGGCAGTCGCAAAGCGCCATCGGTGCGCCCTGCGCCGAATCTTGAGAAGGAATTTCCCAGTAACGGTACCCCCAAAGAGCCATTGACCCCCAAACGTGCTGTCTACGCCCTGGCCAAATCTACTTCAGGCGAGGAAGCCTTCAGCATTATCTCTGAATATTTTGCATCGCACACAGTTAACCCTGAGTCCCGGAAAACTGTGGCTTCGTATTACGTCTTTGACGACGCGAAAATGTCAGCTTATTTACTAAAAAAGGCGGAAATCGAAGAACGGTTCACCTCTAGTAACAATGCGGAGTTGGCAAGAGTGAAGGACGAGATAGAAAAACTCTGGAAATGCATTGTGGAGGAGCGAAAGGCCAGAGAGCTCAAAGATTCTGAAGAGGTTGAAGGTGAATCCGGGCCTATAATCTGCAATCCCTCCAAAACAAAGGATTTTGTAGATAAAGTTATGAGGAAAATGGTCAAACAATTTGCCAGATCACCAACTGGCGTTCTGAGGTTCTTATGGCCGCTCAAGTTCATCGCAGAGCATCCTTCCATCCAAGAGAAGACGAGGGCAGCATCGGTATGTGTCTTGACTGATCTGACCCAGCTCTCTCGATATGAGCCATATCTTCGAAAGGCAAAGGACATGCCATGGAACCAACCGACATTGAGCAATCTTAGTGCTCAGCAGCATGTACAACTCTTCATGAATGCTGTGAGTTCCATGAAAACAGCGCTTGAGAGCGCACCACCCTGTGTTTTACGATGCAATGCCAACAGTAACCCATCCATCCTTCCACTCACCAAAAGGGTGGGTCTTCCAATAAAGGCGCAAATATTGTATAACATTCGGGACTACGAGAGCGCCTATACCGCTACATTGGATGATGAAGGCAGGGCATCTGTCAATATGGATTTCCGCCTTCCAGCTATTGATTGTCCAAATTATTTCCGAGAGACAGCCAAGGAACTCTATGAAGATGCTGTAGGCTATGCTGCGTTCATAGAGCAGAAAAACAAGTTGGCAAATCTGCCAGCATGCTTCGGGGATTCTGAAGTTCGCCAGTCTCTTGTTGCCAGCGCGCTTCTGCTTCACTCTGCTCTCGCTGAGTTGGATGACTCTTATCCGCATGAACGCCTCCGGATCATGGAAGTTGTGGCCGCCTCTAGATCATATGCAATACTACCCCCGGCGATGGGGTCTGTTGCCATATGTAGAGATGCGGTTACCAGTTACCTTTCGGCCGTACTGAAAGTTGAGACCAACTTTGTGCGTGAGGATATCCATTATCAAGCTGCGGCTGACAAATCGGGTGATGAGAGTGCAGGCTCCAAGGGAGTCGGAGTTCACTCAAAGGAGCATGTGCCATATGTTCTAGGCCATTGGGTGCCAGATGCAATGGCGGGGGAACAGATCCCAGGTAAACCATCTGTCGCCGAAGAGCTAGTGCAGCCCTTACAGACCACCTCTATTCGAATTCTAGAGGCGACCGGCGACCCTCCTGAAGAATTGGCCCCTTCTCAAAAGAAGCTCAAAAAAGAACTCATTGCAGCAAATTATAGAAAGCAACAAACGGTTCCTCTCACACAGCATGAGGTCCAGGCCAGAGCAAGGCGCATAGTCTCAGATTCCAGTATGCTCTCTTCATTCAACAAGTCGAAGGAAGCCATGGAATATGATACTGGCTTCGAGGACAACGCAGATGAGAAGTTTTTCAAGAATGAGATAAAAAGAATCTATGCAGAGATAAAGAAGGTCATGGATGCAGAGATTGGGCTACAAGAGCCAGCCAGTCCAGTATCGTCTTTCATGCCGCCACATACAGCTCAACCTTCCGCCCCGAAAGAAGTTGATGATGCCACACACCTGCCAAATTCTTCTGTTACCCTGATTCCATCCAAAAGTTTCATTAAATCGCCAGTAGACTGCGTCAGCGTGCATCACCTCGATTTCCAAACCAATCTGGACAAAATAACCACAGCAGCTCTTACGCTTGTTCCGACTCCAATAATCCCCCATAACCAAGTTGTCGTCTATTCACCTCTAGGCCTGCCAGCGCATTTTGATACTTCTCTCCGGCCCAATGCTGCTCCGCTGCCATCTGACCCCGAACTGGCGAAAGAATGTATCATTTTCGAGACAGCAAGAGAGCAGCGAAAGTCCCTAGCTGCATATTTTGCAAAATCCTTTCACGGTTATGCATATTTCCTCGAGTTCAAAACCGAAGCGGAAGAGGCCGTCGTGGCGACTGTTCTAACCAACGAGGAAGGTTCCAGGGCAAGACAGATACTCAGCGTACTGGACAATGTGGATTCAATGGTACAAATGCTAAGAGTCGGCGCAAGAAGAGATGCAGGCAAAGATAACGAACATATTCGAGCGGCTGCAGCGGATTTAGTTTCAGTCCTGGACGATCGCCCGAGGCTTATGATTACGATGGAGGCAATCGAACAACTGTTTGACAACGAATCTAGGCACAGGAATCCAACTTTCAGCTCTTTGATGGGTCTAAAGCTTTCCAAGAGATTTGACGAAATGGTTACTGCAGTATGCTATGGTCTGTTTGTCCCCGAAGCAATTGAAGACGGGAAAATGAGCAGTCAAGAGCAAGAGCCAACAGCGAAGCACGTTCCAAAAATACCACCACCAGGGTCTATCATTGACAACAAGGTCCGTCCTTTCATTGGCCAAGGGAGTAAAAGGATGCCGAAGTTCACAGATCCGGCCGATGTCCTCGTATTCGCAACGGATATGTATCCAGGACTGTCTGATCTACTCTCGGGCGCCACCCCACTATCCAGCTGCGGCAAGAGTGACACTACAAAGTTGTCCGAGATGGAAATCGAAAAGGTCCTTGGGGGACTAGATTCAATGCCGGTTCCGCCTCAGGCTGTCGCCGATCTTTACAAGTCTAGGCCGCCAGTGCCATTGTCCAAGGTCCCACGTTTCACTGACGCCGACGAGGCCGTGGCATATATGCAATCACATATGGAAGGTGCCACAGCTCCCATATCAGTATCGGTGGCTCCTAATCTTTCTCATTCTGATATACAAGACAGTAAAGAGGCGGGTTCATCACTTGCCATTGAGAAATATGGAGTCTCTATACCCGATGAATATACGGTTGTCCCTGATTCCACGCCAGAAGGTCGGGCATTGGGCAAGGCAATGGAAGACATACAGCTTTCAGCCTGCAAAGGAGATGTTCCGACTGACTATCAAATGGCTGCCCTTGGAAAGGCACGACGAGAGTTATATAACAGTCGACTTGCAAAGGCTCCAGCTTCAACAGGCAATCCCAACACAGCAAAGCGTCATCATCCAACCAGTCTATCAGTTTCGGCTCGGGCTGAAAATCGTGCCGCAGCCAATTTGTTGGCGAGATCCGAGGCAATGACGCTCGTGGGTACCAGATACTTTCCCAATGCCCAATATGCCGCTCCGTCTCTGAAACCACAGCAAATATCGTTCTCGCCGGCAGGCTTTGCGCTCCCGCGGCCCGCCCCCTTTAAGAGTCCATCAGCACCAAGCAATAATAAGCCAGATGCATTACTAGTGTCCCTCCGAACACCCATTACTGAGAAGCCTCTCATTGCCGCGCCCATTACAGTGGAAGGGGTCCACCACGAAATTAGCAAACTCTACGCCAGTATCAACAAAAGCAGCGACTTCCATGAATGCCGTACCTCATTGCGCATCCCAGATCCCACCAGCGTGGAATTCCAACCCTTACTCGACCTGAACATGATTTTTGCCACCTACAAGGCCATCCAAGTGATTGAGGACCGGCGGATTGATGTCCTCTTGGAAAGCGCTGAGGAGTATCAGAGTAGCATCGAACATACCATAAAAGTTACGAGACTTTGGAACGAAGGGCTCGATGCAGCCTTGGACACTGCTAAAGAGTACAGACTATTCAACAAGAGAGCAATTGCCGCAATGAATGGGGAGTATGATGAGATGTGTCAGAGCCCCAAACGCAGGAGCCGGAAGTCGGAGAAACGAAGGAAGGGGATGGGGAAAAAGCTGGGTGCCCATCGCAAGAGCATTATCGAGGATTTCGAGGCTCCAGAGGAATTTCATGGTGATGGCCCGAAACTGGGATCTTTCCGCGTTCGGTAGATAACCCAGGAAAGATGTCGGAGTCTCTAACTTGACTGTACGTATATTGGAGACAGATTTGTAGAAATAAATGTTCATCCCATACTTTCCAGCAGAATGCTTGACAAATCCCAAGTCGGCTAATGAACATGAACGTATTTTTTGTCATCCAAAAGGCTACTCGTGAAGACATTCATCAAATTCGCTATTCGCTTAAAATACACTCATCTATGATATAAATAACATTACAGAGCCTCCATATAACTCCCAGCCGCCCAGGCCATTCCAAGGCCTCCCAATACCCACGCACCAACGAATTTTTTACCCCACCAGCCCTCGTCTTCCGAGACTTTCGCCGCACGTATCCTCACCTGGCCGGGTTTTTGGACCGTCTTCGCCTCCGGTGCTGCCGTTGGCTCCTCAGTAGCCTTCTCGTGTCGGCTTGTTTCCGCCTCTCGGCTTAATTTGTCCGCCGCTTCTTGGGCATCAGCCAACTCTCTAATCTTCTTGCCCAGTGACAACAAATCTTCCTTCCACTCCGCTTCCTCCGTGCTATTAGGCCTTCGCCCCAAGTTCTCTTCTGGCTCGCCAACCTCTACACCTTGGACGTTTCCGAAGAAGTCCATAATCAAGCGTTTTCGGCCCTCTTCCTCGTCTCCAGGGAACAGATCCCAGCGGAAGCCAGGTTGTGAATGAATTTTGCTCTCGTCGTACGAGTCAAACAGGTCGCCGAGCGTCTTTTTAGATGATGTTTCGCGGACTTGCGTCTCCAAGAAGTCGAGGTTGTAGTATGTGTACCTGTCTATGACGGCAACTCCGACGTCGTTATCGGCGTGGTGGGAGTAACTGGACTGGCCGATCTCCGAGGAGCCAGTCGCGATGATATTGGGAGAGTAGAACTTCGAATACATGGTGTTCGCCTGACAGGTATCGATCATGAAGAGGATTTCGTGGTAGCGCCTCTTCTCCCACATCTGCTCAAAGGCGTCTGCGAGGTCGAATGCGCTGATCTCTTCGGCATCCTGAAACTTGAGGAACTCGTCACCCCCGTGGCCGGTCATGTATATGAGGATATTGGAGTTCTCGTCTGTGAGCAGGCGCTTGCTGCGCGGCATCTCTTCGCCCACGCGATCGGTGAGCAGGCGGATGAAGTTTTCGACCGTCACTTCGTAGCCACGGTAGTCCACCTCGATGTTGGTGCCGTAGAGGTCGACAGCGCGGTCGGAATTGGAGTATACGGTCCCCGGGAACGCGTTGCGTGGGTTGCAGGCCATGTCATCGGGAAGCATGAGAATGATCTGGGAGTCTGGGATGCCCAGGCGCTTCACTGTGCGGTAGAGGGAGAGGACATTGGCGAGATGGCGGTAGTTGAACCAGAAGCGCGAGGTTCCCACGAGGACGGCCCAGTTGGAGGTGTGTTCTGCGGAGACGGCGGGGAGGAGGGAGATGGCGACGGGGAGCAGTAGGGATAGTGAGAGCTTCATGGCGAGGAGTTGAGGGGGCGTATGAATTGGAGAGTCGTGGGGGGGGAGGAGTTGGAGTGTCGAGGTGGTTCGAGGGAGGGGAGACCTATCAGGCCACGGGCGTTTCCATGGACAGGGCGGCTATGTTCGTGTTATAGCGGTGGGATTATATGATTGTTGAAGCGGCTGTAGATGTGTATAATTTCGTAAATGCGCCGTGTTACTGTACAATCTGGACTGATATATCGGGGATATTTACTCTATTTACTGTATCCTTATGGCTCGGAGGGTCGCGCGGTTTGACAGGCTTACATAATCACGAGTGTACCTGCACTCACCTGCACTCACCTGCACTGTACGGTGGAGCAAGTACCACCAGAAGTACCAGATTACGTAATTTACTACATACGGCGGGGTGGATCGACCAGAGCGCAGCACAGTACGTACACGATGCAAGACTAACTGTAAGAGGCTAAAGTACCTTGAGGTCCCCAAGTGTGCATAATCTGATGTACGAACACTGGGAATCACTGGAAAATCAATAAAAGGCATTACAAACATTAAAAAATCGTTAGAAACATTGAAAAAAAAGGTTCCTGAAAATATTCAAATAAATATACAAAATATTCCGTCAATTTTAGCAATTTTTTAGGGTCCTGCACGGTGCCGTATAAAGGGTCATCTCTGTTAGATGCTGGAAATGCGAATTCCCATAGAAACACAGGGCGGATATAGAGATAAACATGATATAAAATATACATCCTCCTCCTCCTCTCGCCTCTACGTATTCTCTCTCTTATTTCTTCCTCGTTCGTTGCCTCATTATTTTCTGACGGTGATTCTACTGGTAATCACATAATCACATGAAAGCCGCCTCTCTCTCCGTTCTCCGCTCTCCGCTCCTACGTAGTTGCTGGGCCCCGTCGATAGTGCTGGCCGTGTCCTGTCATGCCCCCGCTTAATTCTCCAACTCGACGACTTATTTATTGCGCCCCCAGAAACCACGATACCCTCCTTCGCCCAAACCTTCCCTCGCTCGATGTGAGATATCCGACGACGGCATAGAGCTATGGCTGGCCCACCTGCTGTGCTCATTGTTGTGAGGTTAGTGCTCTGCTCGTCATTCCCTCCCTTGACCTCTCTGCTTTTGACGCGGCGGCGGCCTGGGCGCGGGGTCGCCGCCACGGCTGTGAGCAATGTGAGCGATTAATACCTACGAACCCGGAAAGCTGACTGTTTCTGTCTATCACAGGCACGGAGCTCGTTTGGATGCTGCAGACAAGCAGTGGCATCTCAATTCTCCGACACCCTACGACCCGCCACTCACCTACGGAGGATGGACACAGTCAAGAGCTCTGGGCGCGAGGATAGGCAATCTTCTCAACGCCAGAGAGGCTGGCCTGCAAACGACGACGACGGACGAAAATAAGGATAGCAGGCCAGAGGCAGCCAAGCCGAAGAAAAAACAGCGCGTCGTAATACACACCTCGCCTTTCCTTCGATGTGTGCAGACCTCCGTGGCCATCGCATCCGGCATCGCCCAGAACCCAGCGCGCAACCAGCCACGGCAGCCAACCGCGACACAGCTTTCAGATGCTCCAGTATTCCAGTCGACCTCGGTTTTCCAGTCATCTCCAAGAATCAGACCCAAAATCAAGACTGATTCTCCGAGGCTGGAGCCTATATTTGAACCAGTGCCACCCGTTGCCACCAAGGACGCCCCAACAATCAGCAAGGCTACACTGCGCGTCGACGCATTTCTCGGGGAGTGGTTGTCTCCCGATTACTTTGAGCAAATCACCCCTCCTCCAAGCTCGGTGTTGATGGTTGCGGGCGCGAAGGCAGATCTCCTGCGCCGAGAGGATTATTCAAGCATCACTCCCAGAGAGGCGACGGCCACTAGCGGGTTTCCAGGCGGATGGGGAAGCCCGATCATTGCCCCTGATAGCGACAAGGAAGATGCCATGATATCTCCCAGACAACCTGCCCCTCGAGACCGTACCAACAGTGTGAGCAGCGTCAATTCCACTACGAGCCGGATCAGTGGAAGGCCAAACGCCAAGTTGTCAAGCCCGCAGAATGGAGAGAATGCTGCATATGTCCCTCCGATTCCCCACTACGCCGTGTCTGGGTCAGATCCTATTCCATCTGGCTACGTCGCACATGGCAAGGATGCTTGTGTTGACATCGACTTCCAATGGGACAGTATGAGGGAGCCGCAGAACTGGGGAAACGGAGGTGAATACGGCGAAGAATGGAGCTCTATGCACAAGCGCTTCCGCAGAGGCCTCGCCCTGCTTGTCGATTGGTACCGCCAGAATGACGAACCCAAAAGACGAACGTCAAGGCCCTCGACCAGCCAAGGTCCCACTGATAGCCCAACTGAAACCACAGCCGATCAAGACACGGAACTCGTCATTATACTGGTCACCCACGGCGCAGGCTGCAATGCTCTCATCGGCGCCATGACCAATCAACCAGCCCTCCTCGATGTCGGAATGGCATCCCTAACTATGGCCGTATTGAAGCCCACACCTCAGAACACACCGGCCTCGACGCCTGGCGTTACACCTGCGCACTCTCGTACGTCGTCTAGAACTACAACCCTCTACGACGAATACGACATCAAACTTATTAATTCAACTGAACATATTCGCCGGACGTCCAATGCGTCGGCGTCGAGCTCGCGCACACCATCTGTGAGCGCACTACCCTTCCGTCCACCCAACCGATACAACGCAAATGGTTCTCTTGCAAATCCTTTCGTGGAGCCGATCAACCTCGGCGAACCTGTTCGCGCGATACCACAGTCCGGGAACTTTGGGAGCATCAGGCGGGCAGCGAGTGTGGCGTCGAGCTCACTTCACAAGAGTTATACGCCGGTTGTGAGAGGAAGCATTGGGCTTTGGTCCGCACCCACCAGGGCTGATGAAGAGGCTGTCGAGGAAGGAGGTGAAGGCGATGATATGGTACTTAATTTCGGAGACATGGCTATATCGCCTTCCTCCTACCCGGTGCAGTTCACAGAGCCGAAGCCGGTGAGGAGACTGTCCAGCAACCACGGCGAGTCACGAGATGAGGTGGCCCCATTGAGCGGCGGACTCTGGGGAGCACCACGGGCGCCAGCAGATGCAGGCGTCGTCCCGGAGAGAGACCATAGCGCAAAGAGACGCTGGACGATCAACGAGAAGAGCACATTATAGCGAACGTGAGAACAGAAAACATGGGCAGGGCAGTGTTTATGGCTTTAGCAGGGCGATTATGGCGTACATGGTAATGGGAACTCAACTCTGGGAGACATGGGAAACCTAAATAGCATTTCTGGGCGATTGTGAAGGTGGAATGTGGGACTTGGTAATTAGCAACGCCGACGCGGCTCAAGCCATAGCGCGGGTAAATACCAATATTTGTGTCTCAAGTCCCGTTTGAATCATTTTAGTGTTTATATTTGATTCAGCTCTTCTACTCTATATGTGATATATGGCAGGCCGTAAATAGCAGACTTCATCCCTGGAGCCATAAACCCCGCATTACTTTTTTACACCTCCCTTTCGTCCATCAATCATAACCAGTCGACGCCTTCCAATACACCACTCTCCGTCCCAATCTCTTCGGCAAGTCACTTTTCTTCATCAAACTCTCAAATTCCCATCCCCTCATCCCTGCCCTTAACACCATTCGTCAACCCCAACTTCTCCCTCACCCTATCCTCCACCTCCACAACGCCAACTGGTCCCTCTCGCCCAATTCCAAAGAACACAAACAAGGCCCACTTCCAGCGGAACGGGTTAATAGCAACACAGAACACAAACCACCACACCAGCTCAAGATACGTGAAGAAGTCAAACGCTCCCGTCGGGCTGAAATGCTTCAGCAGCCTCGTCATATCGATCCAGCACTTTGTCCACCACGGGCGCGGTCGCGTCATCGGATCCAGGAGGAACATCAACAGGATGCGGGTGTAGATTCCGATGTGCCAGTTGCCCACGGAGCCGATGGCGTTGATGTACGTGCAGTTCGTGGCGCAGACGCTCGGGTGCTGGGGCGGGAAGGTCTGGAGGTACCAGTTGGGGGGTCCGTAGGGGGCCTCGAAGGTTTCGCTCGGAAGGAAGGAGAGAGAGGGGCGGTCGAAGCCGGTTGCGAGGATGACGATGTCGGCGTCGACGTTGACAGTCTTTCCTGGGCCACGCTTTGGAACGCCCTTAGCGCGCTGGTTGAATTTCAGGCCGTTCTCGGTGAAGGAGAGGATGTCGCCGCGGAGCCACTCGGCGTCGCCGGAGCGGATCAGGTCAAAGATGTCGGAGTTGACCATGGGTGTTCCTTCGAAGATGCCCTTGTCGGTTGGGGCCAGGTCTGAGAGGTCACGGTAGAAGAATTTGCGGAGCAGGAATTCGGGGATGAAGCTGAGGAAGGTCTCCTGGCCGAAGATGTTGAAGGAGAGGAGGACATTGACGATTGGGTTACGGGGAATGATCCATTTGTCGCTGCGAGCGAGAATTGTGGTGTGCTCTGCGTGGGAGTTTGTGGCGAACTCGAGAGCTTCAACAGCAGAGGCGCCTCCGCCAATGATAACAACTTTCTTGCCCTTGGCTTCCTTGCCGGTCAATTGGCTGCTGTGGTAGACTTCGCCCTTGAAGGCTTGCTGGTTGTTGATGCGCGGGGTGCTGGGGTCTCCACAAGTGCCCACAGCGGCGATGATACCATCAAATTTGCCGTTAGATTCGCTGTTGACGATCCAGCGTCCCTCTGAGTCCTGGGTCACCTTGTCGACTGAAGTGTTGAAGGTGGTACGTGAGTCAAGGCCATAGCGTTTCCAGAGCTCAGTTACTTGCTCGACAATTTGTTCTTTGTTTGGGTATCCGCGAGCCCATTGAACAGACGGGTGGAAGCGGTACATCATCGAATGGATCTGGAGGCCAGAGGTATTGTTCACTCTCTAAAATCCTGTCAGCTCAATGTCTCAATTTGTCAAAAAGTATCACTCACACTCCAAATTCCTCCAAGTCCGTCTCGTCCCTCCTTCTCAAAAAGCTGGACGTCGAACCCATGACCGATACAGTGAGCCGCGCTGGACACTCCGGTGATACCTGCGCCAATAATGGCGATACGTGGGCGGCTCAGTTTAGAATTCGGCGGCGGGGGAGTTGGGGACAGAAGCTTATCAGCTATCCATTGAAATAACTGGTATAGAAATAGAAACGGGTGAAGCAGAAGGTTATCCATTTTGCTAGATATATTCTCCTACCCTTACAGGAAACGGAGACGATGATAATATGTTATAGACAACAGAAGAAAGAAAGGAAAGGAAAAAAACTCGGCGGAATTGAAATGGCTATATAAGTAACTCACCGAGCTCCACTTGCAAGGTTCAATGGAGGATTTCCATGTGCCTGGAAAGTTATAGCCAGTCGTTTTTCGCCGTGGGAAGGGGAATGGCGGGAGGACCGGCGAGAAAGCGATGACGTAGTTCCTCGAGAAAGCTGCCAAGTCTTGATTTCGCATGTGAAGTGTCTAGACCCAGTCAACAACCAAACCAGCATTGAGCCTCATAGAATAGAGATAGAAATAATAGTAACAGTAATAGAAGACTAATTCTAGCTCTTTAGATCTCCAGTTAGGCAAACGACCGCAAGGTTTTGGGTGAAATGAGAATAATTTTCTGATATTTTAGGTTAAATTTAGAAACTGTTTAGGAGTTATCACCAATTTATATTAACGAAAGCCCTCAAGTTCAACGGCCCCATATTTATAAACTGCACATACGGCAAAGTCTTGATATAAGAATACCATCGGGCTAGATATCGACCCTTCTGTCGAAGAATCTCTGTGCAAAGTCCCCTTAACACTGCATAGATGGACATCATGTCACGCTTCTACTAACACATAATATTTGTTGCCAAAGCTAAGGAATATAAATCTTAACCGTATAACTCAATTGACCGACCGACTCCAATCCCAAGCACCTTGCGGCATCCCCATGCCTCTCCATACAGTTACACGCGGAAGCAAAGCCATTGCTCCAAGCAAATGCATAGTCAGCTATTCCCATTCTCGATGTATTCTTTCCACCTCTGATCATGGCGATTTTTTCCCATAGTCGTACTCTTCCCACCTCTGATCAGAGCTTCTCCCAGCTGCCCGTCAACTCAGCTCCAAGACATAAAAGCATTCCAAGCAGCCATCATTGCTTTCGTTTGCCTGGCAGCCATTCCTATCCCCAAAGCATTCTTTTCACCCCCATCCTACTGCTGACTGCCGCCAACGTAATCTCATTTTCCACTCATCTCCGGACGTAAAAGCATTCGAAACAACGACTTCTGCTTTCGCTCTTCCACCAGTCGCGCGTCTCCTTTAGCACCCTTCTTCAGACACTCACGTCGCTCCATCTCATCCGGCACGTCAGAGAAGAGTTCGCAGTTGTGGGTCACGCCACCATACACCATAGAATTGCAGAATCTCTCGTCATCCTCCATCTTTTCCGTGATAGCATCATTGGTGATGACGTCAAAATGGCAGCCGAGAACAAATTTGAATGGGGCGTCCGCGGGCCATCTTCTGTCCAGGTAGCGCTTGAAGCCCACGAGATTTTTCGATAGCGCGCGGCGCTCGAACCACCACGAGACAAGAAGAAAATACGTGCCGTCAGGATGAAGCCGGCAGTCCAAGACCTTGGCGGGCTCGTTATGAGGTTTCCCATTCTCCGGGCTGACAAGGGTGACCATGATATTGTCGAATCCCCCGATTTTGACGGCTGGATCCTCTGGGAGTGGCACAGTCGTAATTTCCATGTCTGTCCACGGCATCTCGCCACTGTTTTCAGGCCTAGGAACTGGCCTAACAGTGCCTTGCAAGTGGTCAGGGACAGCATAGAGGCGTTTATCCGGAGGAACCTCATCTGAGCTGTCATCATCTGAGTCACTAGACTCGGAGTTGACACTTTGAGATGGTGCTCTCTTCCTGCGAGACCTGTGACCAGCTTCAGACGCAGGAGTTGATGCAGGGCTTGGCTGCTGGTGCGGTGTCGCCTTCTGGGAAAGGTGTTAAAACGAGACTCGAATGGCCTTTACGGGGTCATAACTTACCTTGCCTCTCCTAACTGCCCTCTCTTTCCTCAGCTTTTCCATTTTCTCCCTCCCCCTCGCTGAAACATTCCTCGGTTTGGCGTCTGCCGAGGAAACCTTGACATCCTCGCCTCTCGACAATCTGACCTTTGCCGTAGCTTTTTTCGGCCGTTTTGAGACTCTTTCCGATTTTTCTGCCTTTTCTGCTTTTTGCGGGCCGTTGCCATAAATCGGTGGCGGATTTACTACTTCATCTCTGTAGAGATATGTGTTTGTCTTCTCGTTCCATCCGCACACTAAGCGGAGAACATCTTTTGGCCTCGAGTTTGGCGGCTCAGCAGTGGGAATCTCGGATTCTGATTGAGCGGGCTGTGCCATGTTGACAGAGGGCAGCCCACCCAGCGTACTGACGAGGTTTGAGGAAGCCCAAGAGTAAGTTTCTTTGATGATAGTCCCGTGACTGTCTGTCCGGTGATGGACCAGGGAGTTAGCGTATACAGGAGACGCGAAAGACCCGTAGATAACGCGACAGTGGATAAAATATTAAGGTTATTGAAACCGGAAGGATTTTGTATGAAATGTTTGATGGATTTTGATGTGAAAAGTGAAAGGAACACGAGAGATGATTGATGGCGGATGGAAAATGTGATCGATCACCGTGCAATCCCGTGTAATACCACGTAAGATGATGCGCTTGTTGTTCGGGCGGCCGTGCCGCGCTTAAGATTTTCTCAACCAAGGAAACCACCAAGACGTGTCTTGTCTCTTTGAGAAGGAAGCAAGGGTCAAGACACAAAGATCACCCGCGCAATTCATCAAAGGCACTCTGATATCACTTTGAGATAGAAGCAATGAATTCTAATAAATGCGATAACCGCGACTTACTATTCGTTTCCCGCTTTAGGCGTGGTGCAATTGTACTAATCACGTGACCTCGCTCTCCCTTTTCGGCACTTATCAAATTGAGAAGATTATGAATGGAGCGGAATGGAATAGAAGCCTTCGTGAGTCGTTGAAGAGATCAGACAATATTTTGCTTTGCACCATTCTTGGGCAGTGTGGTCAAGTGATGCCAAGCTCAGATCTTAGTGACTAATCTAAAGACAAAATTGTGGCGTACCCTCCGTCTTTAGATCAGTTACAGGAATCTTGATCTAAAGATGAAGATTGTGGCGTACCAAGAAGAGCTGGGCCGCTGTCTGACTTACATATTCAAGATGAGGCGCTTTCCGTGGCAATGGCTGACCGTGACTAAGTAATACCGTGATCGATATGCAAGCATAAGCTTAACAAGTGAGTTCAGCCCGCCAGAGCGGGACGGAAGCAGATCATCATGGTCGTATTACAGTACGCCGGGGGAACATCAATGCCGATGGAATTGAACCGCAAACCTCCCATTGTACGGGCAGCCACTCCATTATCATCTTTATTCTCTTGGACCGTCCTATATTCTAACTCGTGCGGTAGATCTCCATGCACATAAATGCCTGAGGATAAACAGCACTAAGCCGGGAGAAATGACGAGAGAAATGACGGGAGAAGAAACGGGGGAAAGAACAAAAGGAAGATCGTGAGATTAGGGTGTTGGAACACTCTTCATCTTTCTGTGTTGTTCTAGAGAGAGGTTTGCATGGCCAGTGATAATGGGGATGCCTGACAGGTCCACAGCAGTACGCTGCCAACACGTGCTTAAAGGAGGACAGACTTGAAAGGGAGTCGATGACCGCGTCGGTACATGTGCCTCCGGGATTTTTACTGGAGCTTCTAACTTTCTTGCTTTATGGATTTCTGGTCTGCATATGGCATTCATTAGGTGCATTAAGCAGCGGGCGGGGGCACGAAGACGCGTACGGTTCAAGTACAGCAGATACAACAAACGTGAAACTGAAGCTCCATATTCGTCCTTCGTTGCTTACCTCCTTCGTCTCCCTTTTTTTCTATCTCTTGATTTCCCTCCTCATCTTCCCTCTCCACCGAAGCTCAATGCCAGACGTTCTAACGTATCACGTTACTTTAATCTAGCCGAGGCTGGATATAATACGGATACGGATATGGATACTCGACACCGCGTACAAGAAGTGCATTCGTAGTGTGGTATGTGATAGAGTAGAGAGAATGGAGCAGATGGAGCAAAAGTATGCACCAAGCACGGAGTTGAGGTCTCAGGAGAAAGGAGTACATCGTTTACCTTATCCAATACGCGCTAAATATAAGTACCTTCTTGGCTTTTCCATCCAACCCCTTTACCCTGTCATTACCCTGTCGCCGTCGGGCGCCGATTGTCTCCGTGTTGGGAATATGCCGGTCATGGAGTGCCGGAGTGACGGACCGCACGCTTAAATCCTTCCTTAATCCTTCCCTCATCGCTCTATTTTCCGCATTTACCCTCCTTAATAAACTCACTAGAGTAATCACTACTTAACCATCTCTCAGCCCCATGGAGAGCGAATCGCTGCCGCCATGGCCGCCGATCTCTACTCGATCACTCCCGAGTTGTGTCCACAAACAATCAATCCAATGCAACCTACTGTAGGGGTGGTGCCTTGCGAGAGACGCGCCAGTAGCAGGTACAGTATGGGGCATACCCGGATTAATTGCACCCGCCAACAACACGAATCCTAGCTGACAGTCGTCCAGGAGAAACCTTGTTCCAATGGGGGGAAAACTACCCTCAATTATCCTGGCTTCATTCTTCCTTCTTCCGCGATCGTCCTTCATGCTCCTTAATCCTTCGTAGCACAGTGTCTGTTGGTCTCCACTCAAATGCGGGGCGTCACGTTTGCTCGAAAGCTTCTCTGTGTGTTTTGTATACGCATAGCTGTGATCTCACGCTCTTCCATCTGGCCTCGTTGTCGTCCATATGCTGTAGCCGCTGTTGAAGTCCAAACAAGGCTGCTAATCCACCCGCAATGCAGCCCTGCCAGCCACCAACAGACTGCCAGAGAGGAGGCGCACCACTGCCGGATTAACGTGGATGCGGTCCATGCGGCGGGGGTGGAGTTGAACAGGCGCAATCAGCCAGTAACGGCCACGATAAACATTTATCCCGTCCCCCAGATTTTGGTCAGGGTTCTTTGACAGGCATTCCCCGCAACAGCTGAAGCATGGTGGCGCCGCTATCATTGAGGGTTGGCATCTGGTGACTTCAAACCTCCCCAACTTCAATTTGGGAATGCTTGCGTGGCCATGAATTGAGTCCAGTCGGAGTCGATGGCACCCTACGATAATTCTACCTCTTCTCTCGGAACTCGGTCGGTAGAGGAGAACCGATCTCAGATTCGGATGTGTCTCCAAATATACCCAGAGAGACTCACAAAATTATAACATTCTCAACGTCAGGCGCCTTTAGGAGCCGTAGTTTCGTCTCAATGATATTCTGCTCTATACTATGACTTCCCTCCAGTGCTCTCGTTAATGGGTGTCATTAACCACGGACAACGAGCCGCTGTACCGCATTCTCCATCTTATTCTGGCAACAGTATACCAAAGAGTGGATACTCCACCTGTGGAAGACTACTGTTTATACTTCCATGCAGATACTAAAGATCTTGGTTCTCCAATACCGGTTAGCATAGCCCTGACGCGCACCAAAGCGGCGCCAATATGGTAACTCTCCTTGACCAACGCGGGGTCGTCAGCGAATCCGAGCTATTAATCCGAAGCGCCCTGTTCTCAATCTATATGTTTCGTACATCTTGACCTGTTTTTGGATGAAGCCTCTGACGTCGCGTCTGCATCCTTGCCATGCACCTCTTTCTTCCATACTTCGGCAGAAGCTTTTGTGGGTTTCTAGTCTGCGAAACACAACCTTCCATCCGCTTTGATAGGCCACTGTTTAGCTAAGAGCAGGGGTGACGGCCGTATACAACAATTAACTTCGCGGAGATTGAGGGGCGAGAATGGTTGAGATGTCTCATGATGAACTTTAGATTGCCAACCAAGCTGGGGATATGTCCATCATCTTTCAGGCATTATGCATCAGGTAAAATAGTGACGATCTATCAACCGACCCTGCGGCGTTCACGGCCCTGATGTCCACGTCCGAGCCTTTGCCCAAGGTCAACTCGCTACGAGCTGATGCTCAGAGAGATATAAAGAGAAGAAGATTTCCCACAATATTCTAATCATCACCTCACTCAACAACACATCCACAACCATCTTTCAAAATGATCAGCAAGCTTGCCCTCGCCACCTTCACTCTTCTGGCCGCCGTCAGCGGCCAGCAAGTTGGTACTCTCGAAGCTGAGACTCACCCTTCCATGTCTATGCAGACTTGCACCAGCGGAGGAGCTTGCACCAAGAAGGACACCAAGATCGTTCTTGATTCCAACTGGAGATGGCTGCACTCTACTGACGGCTACACCAACTGCTACACCGGCAACGAGTGGGACGCAACTCTGTGCCCAGACCCAGAGACTTGCGCCACCAACTGCGCTCTCGACGGTGCTGACTACGAGGGTGTTTACGGTATCAAGGCTGGCGGCGATTCGCTGACCCTCACATTCGTCACTGGTGCCAACGTTGGATCGCGTGTCTACCTTTTGGCAGATGACAGCACCTACCAGGGCTTCAACCTGAAGAACAACGAGTTCACCTTCGATGTTGACATGTCCAACCTCCCCTGCGGACTCAACGGTGCCCTCTACTTCTCCCAGATGGACCTTGACGGTGGATTGGCCAACCACGCTGGCAACAAGGCCGGTGCCGCGTACGGAACCGGATACTGTGATGCTCAGTGCCCCCACGACATGAAGTTCATCAATGGCGAGGTAAGAGAAGCGGTCTACAGACCCTTTAATTTTCCGACTAACACATCATAGGCCAACACCATTGACTGGACCCCATCTGACAGCGACATCAACGCTGGCAGCGGAAAGTTCGGAACCTGCTGCACAGAGATGGACATCTGGGAGGCTAACCAGGCCGCCTCCGCCTACACCCCCCACGCATGCAAGGGCCAAGGCCTCACCCGCTGCGAGGGAACCGACTGTGGTGATGGAGATGACCGCTACTCCGGCGTCTGCGACAAGGACGGATGTGACTTCAACAGCTACCGCATGGGCGACCCATCCTTCCTCGGTGTCGGCAGGACCGTCGACACCTCCAAGGTCATCACCGTGATCACCCAGTTCGTGACCGCCGACGGCACCGAGTCCGGCGCTCTCACCTCCATCAAGCGCATCTACGTCCAGGGCGGCAAGACCATCGCCAACTCCGAGAGCAAGATCGATGGCGTTGACGCCACCAACGAGATCACCGATGCCTTCTGCGACCAGCAGAAGACTGCCTTCTCCGACAACAACTACTTCAAGACCCTCGGCGGCATGTCTGGCTTCAGCACCGCCCTCGACTCCCCCATGGTCCTCTCCATGTCCATCTGGGACGACCACGCAGCCTCCATGAACTGGCTCGACTCCACCTACCCCGTCGGCGGCACCGCCCCTGGCAACCTCCGTGGTGACTGCGCCGCTACTGATGGCGACCCAGCTACCGTAGAGGCCGCCCACCCAGGCGCCACCGTCACCTTCTCCAACATCAAGTTCGGTCCCATTGGCTCGACCTTCGATGCTGGCGCAACCGCATAAATCATAGATTAGATGAATGGGTTAGATGGCTGGGTGCTCAAATTCGTACCTGTACAAATTTTTATTTCTGGGGAAGACACTGCTGTACATAGAACTTGGTGTAGAAAGGGAAACTATATAAAGAGTGGGTTTAGTGGGATTCTAGACTTCTAGGATAATACAATCATTTGCTCTGATATATCACTGACTGATCTGAAATGAGCATTTCGTCTATGAGAATCTAAGATGTGCACGTCGTCTGTGAGATACTTTTATTTCCTGATTATATCCCGATTATTCAAAAACAATGCCGTTGAATTAGGAATGACTATTTTCCCCTCCGACGTTGCAGTGCATCTCCATTGCATTTCGACGATGTGACGTTGGGGCAATTAATATATCACCGTGTCCTTTCAGCACAACCCAAAGTAGCCCCTCAAATAAACAACCCCACTAGACACGGCAGGAAATTCATCATGCATCTTAGTATTGAGATCAGTGTTTGTTATTTCCAGAATCCTACATGACAGTGATATTACGCGTGTTGCAAATCACAACCGCACCCCATTCCGATAAAACACAACCCTAGATAAAATGAAAAGAAGAATGGTCCCAGCCCAGCCACAACCAAAATGAACCCCACGGTCGAATTATGCTTTTCCTCCACTATAGTTCTCAAGCTTTAACATTGACTCCATCGACTCTCGCCCTCCACACCTCTCCCGTCCCAGGCTGATACCCATCGGCAACACTAACAGACTCCTCACTATCCGCGTACCCCGGCAGAGTCTCCGAACCCATCTTCGAGTCCGTCTCCTCTGCGGTATACTCCGGAAGAGTCTCCATCGTATCCGCGCTTCCGCGTCTGGCGTACCTAGATCCCTCAGAGGACTGCGAGACTATATCTTCAACAGCCTCTGCTGCATGCCTCAGATCCGCGATCTCTGTGGCAATGTGGCTAGGCGAAGAGTACGCAGGATGTGGCTCAGTGCTGGGTAGCATCTCGTCCTTCTCGCTGTACTCGCGCTTCCCTCTGCATCTGCGACGACGCCAGCCACCGCAGCGACGGCGTCTCCTTGGGGACTCGTCGCGGCCACAGCCGGAAGCCTCGCGGGCAGCTGCGCGTCTGGCGCGGTGGATGCGGCGGCGGATGTGGAACATTAGGATGGCGAAGAAGAGGACGGTGAAGACGATGAGAGTAGGGTGGACTGCCTTACGGGCGTGGTGCCACTTGCCTCTGTGACCGTGGTGGCCGTGGTGAGGTCGGTGATGAGGACGGTGATGTGGTCTGTCTTCGTCATGATGATGGCGGTCGTCAGGGGGTCCCTCCTCGTGTCCAGGTCTCATACGGTGCCTGTCATCATCGTGGTGCTTTCCTCCGTGGCGGTCGTCAGAGGGTCTCTCTTCGTGCCCAGGTCTCATAGGGTGCCTATCATCATCACTGTGCTCCTCGTGGTGCTTGCCTCCATGGCGGTCGGGTTGGTTGTACTTTCCTGGATGGAGCTTGCCGGGCTTTTTGTCACAAAAGATGGACTTCACCTTGGACGTGAGGTGCTTCGCGGTTTCCTTGGTGTTGTGGACGGCGATCATAAAGACGCACTTCACCGAGTCGCAGAGTGCGATGCCTTGGACCGCATCCACATCATCAGCGACGGGCTTCTCACTGATTGGAGCCTGTTCCCCATGAGGTACAGGGTGAGCAGCTCCAGTCTCTGAGTCTTCCTCGGGCTTCTGGCCCTTGAATGTATGGGACGCCTGAGACGAGGAAACAGCCAGGTAGATGGGCTTCGGGTTTTTGCTATACTTTTTGATGTCTAGGATCTCGAGCGATGTATCGTCATGAGAATAAAGAACCGTCAGGCCGAGATCGTTGACAGGCTCGCCGTTGACATTCTTCACTGCGAATTCAAGGGTGCGCGTCAACGGGCCACAGGTGAGAGACCATTGCATCAGTATGTTATTTAACCCAAGGTATTCTGCGAATTCAAGTGCACCGATCGTGCCGTAAGACACGGGGATTCCATTGACGACGAGATCTCCCGATCCACACTCAGGACCCGACCGAGAGAGGTCAATTCTAAAACCCTAGAGTCATGTCAGTAACCATACGCGCGACAAGCTATAGAATAACGGCTGCGTACCAGTACAGAGTTTGATACTGGGTCGTCCGGTGTGGTAGTTACGATTGGGATAGATAGGTGAACGACATGGGAGATTTCGGCTGGGCAACGGTTAGATGCGACGACGGCGACAGGGACAAATTAAGCCTGGAGCAGCTCGAAACTTACTATGAGTTGCAGAGGCAACATGAACACCATCCCAGGTATTGGGAACAACGAGGGCAGATGCCAACGCTGGCGCCAAGAGCGCGGTTGCCAGGAGGCCACGCATCACCGGCAGGCAGCGACGATAACGCCGCGCGGATGGGGCGGGATAAGAGAATAGAGGGACAATAAGAGGGACGATTAGGTAGAAAAGAAGAAGAAGAGATGGAAAGAAAGGGAACCGAAAGAGTGGCGATAAATAGATGAAGGAATTGGGAGGGATTATTGGTAGAAGAGAGAGGTTGTTGAGGTTTGGTTGAATGAATTATCCTCCCATTATTTGTCCAACGGTGGGCTGAGGGTGAGAGAGAGGCGGAGGGAGGGGAGATGCGGATGTGATGGGTGATGGAGAGCCAAAATGGCCGCGTAAGTCTTTTCTTGGAGTACACAGCCTCACTCACCATTGGCTTGTGGTCCCAGATGTACACAGTAATACAGCTAACGCGTTGTGCAACTTGGTGTAATTATAACAGAAAATAGAAAACAGCTCTAGGATAAAGCTTTAGTATATTCCGCCAGCAATAAATCATTATTATTGTCTATATGGACCGTGGAATCTAGATGAGACAAGAGCTTTCTTGTAACCTTGAGAGTCCCAATCTTCAGCGGGCGGTGAATATACTATGATCACGTGAGTAACCATCACTATGGCGGTCGGGACACACCTAAACCGCTATCTGTCATGAGATGATGGTCCAAGCAAGCATCACCACCACGTCTCTCAGCCTCATCTACTCACCACAGTGAAGCTATCCACAACAGGCCAACCATGGTCCGTACACCCTGCTCCGACCCTGCTTTCGCCTACTGCTTTGATGCGCCGCATTTGGTAGTGCTATCGAGACATACTAACGCGTTTTCCAGCTTCCATTGGGCCTCCTCACTGCCGCCCAAGGGCATCCCATGCTCGTGGAGCTCAAGAATGGAGAGACGCTGAACGGACATCTCGTGTCATGCGATACCTGGATGAACCTCACCCTGAAGGAGGTCGTGCAGACTAGCCCTGTACGTCTACGCATCCCCAGACCATCCTGTCGTCTGCCCCGCGCCATTCAGTTCCATGGCAACAGCTATGCGCCGACTCCGTTGACACCCCCAAAACGTACTATGGCTAATTTATATGCGTTTTATAGGAAGGCGACAAGTTCTTCAGACTGGCAGAAGTATATGTTAAGGGAAACAATGTATGTTTGGGCTCCTAGCACTACCGGCTGTTACAAATGCTAACAATCCCAGATCAAATTCCTCCGCGTACCAGACGAGATTATAGATTTGGTCAAGGACCAACAACAAGGACAGCACGGCGGTGGCTACAGGGGAGGGCGCGGAGGCTCAAGAGGAGACCGTGGTGGAAGAGGGGACAGAGGACGTGGGGGCAGGGGTGGGGGCGGTGGCAGAGGGAGGGGGAGAGGGCAATGAAAGATTGCTTGACGACACTCGAGGCGGGAGACCTCGCCAGCGGAATTGAGGACTGATGCCAGACTACATTGGATGACGCATAGCTTGGCTGGAGTCCGTCAGGATTCAACGGCGCATCAGGAATGCAATCTCCACCACAAGTGGCTGGGCAGGAATGAGAAAAACGTCCAGCTATGGCATAAGTTGGAGCTGTATAATCATCATATAGAATCCACAGAGCAGTAATTTATCAATCTGCCTCAATCCCGCTTCCCTCGCGCTCTCCATGAATATAAGAAATATATGAGCCCACAGTGCACGTGACATGTTTAGCGCAAGGCTGACAATAGAGGTTCAACTTCTTGATGCGCCGTCACTGGGAAATTCGACGACGAAATCCCAACGCCAATGTCAGCTCCGCGGATTGCAGTCGACGGGCTATGGCGCTGCCTCTGTCCTTCATTTGATTCAATTGTACTCTCTAGAGCCCGATTGCCTGTTTCGAGGGCAAGTTATCGACCATACGTGCCCCGGAGAATACTGAGGCCTTCCAGCTTGAAGCTCTCAATAGCAGCTTCTCGACGCCAGAATTCCACTCTTGCGAAATCAGTCAACATATCGAATGATAGAAATTTTGCAAATGAGGCATTGGACGCCGCGGAACCCAGCTCCGAAACCCCTCCGCCGGAAAACTGGGGTGCACTTTCTGTCGTGGAGCTCCACGACATTCTTCGCACAGTGCGAGACGAGAGCGGCTCATACCAGAAAACGATCAACCTAGTTCAGTATCTGATTAAGAACAGAGGAGAAAGACCAAATGTGCGGCACTTCGATGCACTTATTCGGGCGAATGCCGATGCAGAGAGGGGGAGTGCGGAAGAGGTCGAGGGGTTGCTGAAGGAGATGGACAAGCAAGGAATCATCGGGGATTCGAGCCTATATCATAGCGTTCTGATGGTATGTTCATTTTCCGCCTTGCCACAATGTTACAGTACACTGACAGTTCACGTAGACTCTCGCCGTACACCCCAACCATCTTCTCCGGGCGGAAATCCTAACAGAGATGAAAGCCCGCTGGATCTCTCTCTCCCCACTCGGCTACCACCACCTCATCATCTCTCACCTTCGCGACCGCGAGTACGAACTAGCTCTATCCGTATTCTACTCCCTCCACCATCGCCATATACCAGTGGAACCATGGCTTTACGATATCTTAATCTACGTTTTCTCAGAAGCCGGCGAGCTTCCTACGGCTCTCTCCATCCTCCAATCCCGCGCCGAAGACCCAGACCGCAATCCTTTATACCCAGATCCGCAGGATGTTAGCCCGGGTGTCTGGCCATACTTTCTCGATACTTGTGCTGCGGCATATGATTACGCGGGCGTGTTATACGTGTGGCGGAAGCGTGTGGAAATTGATTATTTAAGACCGAGCGACGGCACATTGGCAAATGTCCTCAACACTGCGGCGCTGGCTGGTGATCCCGCGCTAGCGACCAGTGCCCTGAAAATGTTGGCGGATAGGAAAGGGGAACTGCCTACCAGCAGCTACGAGGCCATGTTGGAGGCGTATGCGACAGCTAAGGATGTGACGAATGCGTTTCGCGTGCTGTGCATTATGGGCAAGGCGGGCGGAGAAAGCACGAGCAAAACACCTAGCTCGGCAACTACAAGGCCTCTATTCAAGCTTCTACGAGACGAAGGGTCAGAAGGGATCCAAGATGCATGGAAGGCTTTGAAACCATTACAGGACGAGGGGAAAGAGATTCCTATTGCTGCTGTAAATGTTATCCTGGAAGCCGCCGCGTCGTCCGGAGAATTGGCGCTTGCAATGCGTCTCTACAAGGAGCTGGTTAGCTCCCAATCCTCCCCCGCCCCGAAGACAGAGCAACCAGATAGCTCCATAGTCGAGGGAACTTCACCCAATATTCGATACAAGACATCACGGAAAGCCCTGCGTGTCCACCCCGACACAACAACGATCAACGTCCTCCTCCAAGGCTGCACGAAGATCCGCAGCTCAGCCAGCCCCAAACGAATGGCAATGTACCTCGCGTCAGAGATGGCGCGCCAAGGCATCCGACCTGACGAGCTGACCTACGACCGACTCATCCTGGTGTGTCTACACGAGGGACAACAGGATTACGAGGACGCGTTCCGGTATCTGGAAGAGATGACGGCGATGGGGTGGCAGGGGAGGGTGAGGAATGGGACGTGGCATGCGCTTGCGCGGCGATGTGCGAGTGAGCGGGATGGGCGTGTGGATACGGTTTTGGAGATGATGGAGGGGTTGGGGTTGGAGACGGGGAAGTTGAGGGGTGTGGTGAGGGAGTTGTGGGAGGCTGGGCCGGGGGAGAGGCGTAGTGCGGGTCAGGAGGAGGTTGAAGGCGGTGAGGATGATGGGATGGCGGTGGATGTGGAGGTTGGAGATGGCGTGGAAGGTGGTACGGGAGAGACTGGCAATGAGACCCAGACGCCACAGGATGAACAACCTGTCTGGGGCAACCTGCGGAGGAAGCATGGCTCATCATGATTTAGAGATAATCTACCCGTGCGGTTCAAACTTGACGGGGGCACTGTATATATTAGCCACCCAGATCTTACGAACGGCTTGTATAATTTATTGGCGGTTTGATTGTTCACATACAGTCTCTATTGGGGCGTATGCTCTAGACGAGTACGTTGTATTGATGGTTACAAATATATAACACAAGTAAATATTCTAGATGTAACAGAATTCATCTTCCGTCAGAGTTCTCCCACTTGTTCCTTCATTTGATGCCATCATGGTTCATACATGGAACCAACCAGCACAAGCCATCTACTCCACTGACCAGCTTCTAGACAGCCATGCAATATGGCTTGGTTGGGCTGGGCGTGTGGCTATGAGGACGTCCGGCAAGAACCTCTGAGATAATATCGGCAGAGTAACTCTCCTTCGCTGGCTTTTGACTCTGTTCTGTCTCATGCGCCCGCCGGATCTTCAACGGAGTATGTGGGCAGTTCTGGCGTAGCCCGGCAAACCTCCTCGATAGTGGCCAGCCCTCTACACACTGATCTCAGCTCACGCTGCGATACACAGCTATTTCTGGCACCGCCATCATACACTAGGCCCCATCTTGCCTCTCAGGTCTTCTTCTCCGCAGCCTTCTTCATCTTGAAATCCGCCACCCACTCTGCTGCTTTCTGCTTCGGAACCACAAACACCCTCACAACCTCATCCACCACCTCCACCGATCCACTCGTAAGAAGTTTCAGCAACGTCACCTTCGGTCCCACCTTAATAAGCCCGCCTGTCATAGTCTCCGCGTAGCACTCCACGCCCCTCGGGGTATACTCATGCTGCCTATCCCACGGCGCCTGCTCATCAAGGATATACCCTAACCTCTCACCCACTGTCTCAGTCTCGCCAAACTCCTTGATAAAATCACTCTGCAAGACGAGCGGGTACAGAAGCACAGTAGGGAAGACCAACGAACTCGTCGGGTCCACAGGATCCGGCACGAGTCGCACCTTCGCATCCTCCATCTCCGGTGGCTGCTCCGTAGTACGCATGCGGATCCCCCGTGCCTTCAGCGCGGCTTTTAAGACATATGCTTCCTGCTTCACGCGTAGCGCAGCAGCCTCCTCTTTCCGCCTCTTCGCGTCGACTATCTCCGCCTTCTCAATAATTTGCTGGGCGAGGAGCTTGAGGTCCTTGTGTTCTGGGTCAAGCGCTAGACCGTGCGCGCAGGCGTCGTCTGCTTCACGGATCTTGGAGAGAGCGAGAAGGGCAACTCCAGAGCGGTAGAAGGCTTTGATGTTCTTGGGGTTTAGGCGGATGACTTGCGCGCAGTCGAGGGTGGCGGATCGGTAGTTCTTGAGCTGGACGTGGCAGGCTGAGCGGTTGCCGAGGCAGGCTTCGAGGAGCTTTAGTTGTTCTTTTATCTCGGCTTCGTCCTCGGCGCTCAGGGTGGGTGGTGCGGTTCTGTCGGCTTGTGGTGATGCTTCTTGTAGGGTCTTCTCTTGGGCTCGCTTTCGTTGCTCAGCCTGTAGTACTGTTATAGCTTTAGAGTAGAACTCTTTCGCGTCGGCCCAGCTCCGTAATTTGAAGACGTCGTTGCCCTGCTCCTTGAAGTTCTGGGAGACCTCGCTCGGTGTGCCCTCGTAGGCAAGTGCTTTGAAGGCCTCGATTTCGTCGTTGTCCTCCAGCTCGGTCATGAACAGGGGAGTCTTATTTAAATCGGCGAGGATCTCGGCGGAGGAGAGGTTGCGGTAGGCATCCATGGACGGTGGGAGCTGGGGCGCCGTTGTGGACGAGGCGGGGTTGGTGGTGGGGGCCTTGCCCATAGAGTATGACTTGATGGCATCCGCGATCATGTCTGGGGTCGGTTCTGTGGGGGCGGGATGGTCGACGACCTCGTTTTCTTCGATGAAGCCCATGGCGAGTGGTTTATACGCCTAGTGGTTTCTCGACGGTGATGACGATCATGGTAGTATTTCAAAAGTTAAAAAAATTACGGCGGGGCAGATGGCTTGAGCGGGACAGGACTAGCGTTCTTCCGTCGATGGCATCGAATGCTAGTGGGCCTTTCGCGGCAATCACCACCCTAAACTATTCCTTCATGATAAATGGCTAAGCAAAGACCACATGCACAATGGCTTATATGGCCTTTATGCGCTCCTTTAAAGCTATGGATCCGTCATTCACATGCTAAATCAGATTAGAAACACACAGTCATTTTGTTGGCTTTTCCTAGCCACTTCTAGAAAGGGGACTTGTATCTTAGACAAAGGTACTTTGAACCAAAGAAACCGTCTTCTCAGCCAACAACTTTGCATCGCCAGGGAACCTCGCACTAATATAATTATACTTCTCATCCTCGATAACAAATCTATGAGACGTAAGTTTAATCTCAGATGCTTTGTATAGGGGCAAGATCAATGACTTACGCTCCTATTCCAATACTGTTCTTGTACTGCTTGTCCGGATTATCCAAAACTTTCCGGACCTAACCTCCAGTTAGCACCTAGACTAATATTCGAACACATCAAACTCACTGCTTCCTCAACATTCTCACTCGCAGCCCCATACGTCTTATAATAATCACCTAAAAATGCTCTCGTACCCCAATATGCCACCTGTTCAAACAGTGCAGGCAGGGCCGTTGTGTCGCATTCATGTATGACACTCTTCCCCTCCATATCCTTTGTCTTCGAAAGCACCATGACGCCATGGCACACAGCAGCCACACTCCTCTTGCTCGGCTTCATCGTGCTAGAGAAATATGCAGCGATGTGTCTCTGCATTATATGCGAGTCAATTAATTGTCGCACTCCTTTTTCGTGGCCACCAGGGAGGAAGATCAGGTTGTAGGTGTCGAGGGAGAAATCGGAGGAGGACCAGGAGAGGGGGTTCTGAAATTCAGGTTGCGTGGACATGGAGTTATAGGCCTCAACTGCTAAACCTGTTGCTCCCTTGGGTTAGGTCAATTAGCTTGTATAATAGCTAGATAGGCATGAAGGGGTATTTAGTACTAGGAGTTTCTGGGTGATACCCTTCAACATCTTTTTGTCGCATTCCGGAGTCTTGCCCTTCTCCGTTGCGAAATGGACTTCGAATCCGGCTTTCTTGAATTCGGTATAGGGAACAGCGGTCTCTAGAGAATTCACATCATTACTAGCACGTTATGTTCCTGCAAAGATGTAGGAATGGGTACCTGTTGGATCATGTCCATAATCGGACATTGGTATGAGAACTTTGGCGGTCGTCATGGTGAAAATATTTTGTTATCCAGCTGGAAATTGTAATTGAGTTAGTATCAGAGCAAGTAGAATGAGGTAGCGAAGGGGATGTAGGTATTTATCGTTGTTGACGTCGTCCGTGTTCGTCCGGGCTTTATGAGGACAATGTGACATAGTGACTCTAAAATTAGCTGGAGGTTCTAAGATTTTAATTTGCAAAGTAACCTCGGCTGTATGGTGCATACGCAGTAAGCGTCAGCAACTAAGCTTCTCGTTCAGCTTCATGTTAAGAAACCGGTAGTTGGAGATAATACAATTGAGATGGCTACAGATTAAAGTATAAAAGCGGCTATATATCTCTTGGTTTCTAATTTCAATAACCCACTTCTACATCACTCCTCTCGATCGCATCGCTTCCCAAATCTACAGCCATGAAGTCCTCCATCATCATCTCTGGTCTCCCACTCCTCGTCCTTGCTCTAGTTTCTAATGCTACTTGCTTTACAACAGGTCCAGATGGCGACTGAACAACGGGACACGATAAAATCTCCCGGATGTATGACTACCTAGCTGGCGACTATGCACCCGGTCAAGCAAAACACTACGCTTTTACGTATAGTTAATGAGACTAACATGTGAAGCGCTTCTTGGTCGACGGGCCGTGCCACAGACCTACGCCACCAGGACATAGGCGGCAGTTGTTCCTGCCAACAAATAAATAAATGGCATATTTTGCACTCTATTGTAGGTTGCTGGCTAGGAGAGAAGAGGAGCAGAAATTCAAGTTAATCAAATATGAATTTGATTCTGTGACCATGCTATTTTTTGTACGCTCGCTCGCAGCTGGGAATGGTGAGGACCTGGAATATCAAACAGGAGGTTTCCGCCAAAGCATTCTCATTTAGGGCCCTGAGCACATAGCTTTCATTGTGGGCGATTAAAGTTAATCAACTTGGTTTTTTTTACAGGCGATGGGTCCAATTATTGCTAAGTAGTCACTCAGCGTCATTCATCGTTGGTTTTACGAGAGTTACCATTGGCACTTTATGAGACGTATTTGAGTTCACTTGATGGTGTTTCCCTGTAGCTGCATTCAGAACGGTTTCATTCATTCTTCTCTCAGTATAGCGAGGAGTGGAAGATATTTGAGCCGATTATCTTCTTTGTTAGTGCATGCTATCGCGGGAGGCTTGACAGGACAACAACATTAGCCCTGCCCACTTCCCTCGTCCAATACAAAGGCGTTAGATGTTGCCTGCATATGTTGTCTTCAGGGTCAACTCATACTTCAACTGGCTGGTAGGATATTATTGATCTTACTTTCTACAATATTCTTCTTGTCTATTCCCCATCACAACATCTTGCCAACATCCAGATGCCCAAAGCTTTGAGCAGCTTCGAGTGATCTTGTTTAGCTTCTAGCTGCATCTTCCTTTCAAACGCTTGGAAGCTTCACCTGTTAAGGCAGCAAGAATTTTTAATGGGAAACAAACACTCATCCCGGTCTCATCGAATATCAACCCAACTCAGCCTTTGGTTTCCTTTCAACAACCTCTCCAAGGCCAACTAGAGGCAGTGAAGCCCATCATCCTTTCAACCAACAGAGCCATTCTATTTTCACCAGACTATCAAAGATCAGTTCATAAGACAACAAGGCAACTCCATTCCAGAAGCCGACACAGCCAGTCTATTTTCACTGGCAATATCTGATTCAGTGGATGGACGATTGGCTTTCTCTCAAAAGGTTCTTTCTACTCAGCCTCACGCACGCTATACATCCGACCCAGAGTCGAACCCGGCATTTTATTCACACAAAGTAAGCATGGCGAACGCTTGTGACTTAAGGAATGCCTACGATAGCAGCATCATGGTCACCTATGATGTTGCCGTTGAAGAAGCGCTGGAGGGGCCATTCTACGACCCTATCTATCAAGCTGAGCTACAAAAGGACCGTGAGATTGCACGTGCTGCCACGAATGCACTGAAAAGGGCAGACTTATTTACAGTCCACGGAGATAACCTTGCAAGATTAATCCAGGACGGCGAAAGTTTAAGTGAATTCGAAGTCTCCAGTACGAGAACTATCGCCATTCTAGGGGGCTCGGGTGAAGGTAAGCATGCATTCCATCAAGCCAAACTGCATGGATCTAATTTCCTTTCAGGCAAGAGCAGCCTCATCAACTCCCTGTTACACTATCCGGAGATCGCCAAATGCGTAAGTACACATCATGTTACGTAGATTTCACAACTTAACTTGTGGATAGGGAGATATAGGCGCAGCCTGCACGTCAATTGTTACAGAGTATAGACTGAAGACAGCCAATCACAGAGCACCTATAACAATAGATGTTGAGTACCTCTCCGTAACAGAAATAGAAGAGCTGCTCAAAGAACTTCTCTGGAGCTTCCGTCGGATGTATCTTCCAAATGCCGAAGATGAAAACATCATTCAAAGCGAATACGATCAAATGGAACGTGAATCGGCGGAGGCGTGGTCTTCCCTTGAGGCTGCATTTAGCCACCATGAAGAATTTAGCAAAGACTGGCTCACAAAAGACATGACCGAAGAAGGATTGGCTATGGTTACCGATCAGGTTATCCAATGGTCCCATGAGCTCGATTGGCCCGCTGGCGCAGACAGCGGAAAGTGGACATCGACAGCAGACACTGCAGATGAATGTTACGAGAAGACGGGTGTCTTCATGGAAGACCGGTTTTGGCCATTCACCAAAATAATCCGGTAAGATTCACATCACGCTTTGTTTCTTTGATTGTAGTATCTGATTGAGGATTCTACACAGTGTTTATATTGAGGCACAGATCTTAAAGTCTGGTATTATTCTCGCCGATTTGCCGGGTTAGTAGCTCAAAATCTTAGACTATGCCACATATCAACTGACGGTCGACGCAGGTTTGCACGATACCAACCTTGCACGAGTGAAAGCCACTCAAGACTACCTCCTGAGATGTGATCATATCTTTGTCGTCGCAAGGATTTCTCGGGCGATAACAAATCAATCATTAAAATCATCCCTCCTTTCTGTCGTGTCCAAACATGCCGGGCAAGAATTAGATGGATCCAGAGGGGAAAGCATGAAAATTGCGGCTGTTTGCACTAATTCAGAGGTTCTACTCTACTGTTCAAGTTTGTGAAGGTGGTGACTGACGCTTAGTAGGATATTAATGAGAAGTCGGCGAGACGGGAATTTTGTGGCCCCAACAACAGAATCTCACCAGAAGACATGGCAGAACTCGACCAAGATATTGCAAAGGAAATGGAACAAGGGAATCGACAATCTGTAAAGAATTTGAGGTTGAGGCAAGTTCTATGGTTTTATGCGTGCTATAAACTAAAATATTAACTATTCTCTAGGCAGCGTTTGCTACTGATCAACGCCCGGAATATGCACGTTAAAGAAGGCTTGCAGAAAGCTTACTCGGCTGAAATTCCAAAAGGGGTGCTCGAAGTATTTTGCGTTTCGAACACGTCTTATGAGAAATATGCCATGAAAGGAGATATAGAAATGGTGCAGGCCAGTGGCATACCAGAGGTTCGACAATTCTGCTACACCATAATCAGTCGTGCACACCTACTTGAAGCAAACCACTTCCGCAATTCAAGGATGTCGAGCTTTCTAAATTCCACCCTGCTCGTGGTAGCCAAACCTGAATGCCAGACTATGGAGGCTATGATCGATAGATCAATCTATTTCACCTTGTTTGGGGTGAAAAATGAGGTTTGTAGTGTTCTTCGTGCTTCTTGTCATGGGCTAACCGTGTCAGGTATTGGGGGCCGTGTCTCAATCCAAAATCGATTTCAACGACGTTTTTCAAAGTTTGATTATTTCGCACATAGGTGGGTTTGATCATAACTTTAGAAGCCAGGGTGTTATCTAACTCGCATAGACCAAGAAAGTCCTGCCTGGGAAAAAGCGGCGCAAGAGGAAGGTTTATCATGGTTCAATGTAATGTCCACCCCTTGTCCATAACAATTGAGTTCATATTCTAACAGTACATAGTGGTATTGGAGTACTGTTTCCACAATGCATAAGTATATCAACTGTAGACTAACGCCAGATGTTGCAGGTCAGTATAAAGCCTGGTGCCGGAACGATGGCGACCACAAGACGAGAGCCCGGAAAGCCAACTGGAATTCCGAGCTCATTAAGAAAATGAGGGCAGAGATGGGATTTCGATGGGAAGCATTTAAACAAAAAATCCCGACGCTATTCGCAGATTTGCTACAATCTATCAAAGCGATATTCCTAAAATTGCAATCCGAAATGAGAAGCAAGTTAAATCGTCTTATCTTGGTCATGGACAGTATTTACTAACTCCAGAACATAGAGGAAAACGTTGATCCTTTACTCATAGACGGAATTGAATTCAAGATTGGAGCTATCGAGTATGAATTCAGTCAGGCGGTGGAAAAACTTGTGAAGGGTGTTGAGTAAGTTCTATTAGTTCGACGAAAACCCGCTTCTCATTGTTAAGTTTGGGCAAGGAAGCTTTTCTTACATCAACTAGAATTATTTGTTCCAAAGCATCAGAGGCCAATCAATCATCTTACATAGTCAAAATCATGACTCCGGCCTACCGATCAGCAGCCCAACAATTTGGTCAGTATTTTGCTTCTTTAGGATTGAGCTGAGATCATCAAAACGCAGTACTAATGTTTGTGCTGAGCAGGCAAAGGCATGGCTGCTCGTCAACGGACAATCGTCCAGGGCCGCATTGAGGAGGGGCTGTTCTCTAAGATTTCAATGGCCATAAGCAAGGATATAAAAGCCGAGGTGAAAACCAGTTTTGGTGCAGTTAAAAAGGAACTGGACAACATTTTTGTTCGCATAGAGACCGATATCAGGGTGAGACTGGCGACGGAGGAGCAATCTTGCGAGAAGGGGGACCCCACCCGCGAGGACAAGGAGAGACGGAAAGCAGATTTGGCTTGTGAACTTCAAGACCTAAAGAGACAGCATGAGGAAGCTCCTGGAAGCATTGATTTTATTCAGCCTAGAGTCCTAGAGATGGAGGAGGTCAAAGAGGAGGGCGTCGCGCTTTGAGCCACAAATCGCCGTATTGCCAGAGTTTGTTTGACGGTTACAATTTCAGATCCTTTCGGATTATTATTTCGACTTCATTCAGAGAAGATATCTGGAGTTGATCCATACTCAATTCTGATTTTATATCTCTCTGCGCTGATGTTGGGGCTCTCTTATACTTCTAATCGTAGAATTATAAGAACCCAGAATAAATAATATGCGTCATGAAATAAAGCATTCCACCACACAAAATTATAGCAGAAATGACTTAACATAAAAAGTGACATTCATGCAAGTGAAGTATTCATACCAGTAATTATCATCACATATAAAATATGACAATGCAAGAACTGCAACAACCTCGTTTGACCCAACAAATCGCCCGCAATTCCAAAGCCAGCGTACATCATACTTCACACCATGGAATATTTACTTCATCTGGATTCAACAACACATTCTAATTAAAGCCAAAACTAAATGACATACTCAGCTAAAATCGCGCAGTATAAAATATTCAAATCCCGAGCCCCTTTTCTCCATATTCGTTGTGTCCATGGCCTGCCTATGGCCGTCATCATATCGACATAGCTCGTGTGAATTTACCGTGTGCTCATATTCAGTGTATCCAACCTGCATCAATTTCAAACCTTAAATGCGAATTGCCAGTGACATTCCGATTCAACCTTCACAAACTTGCTGCCCTCTTTCTCTTCATGCCTTGGGCAGTTCCGTTCCCCTCGCCAACGCTAAGACACATAAGCATCAGCGCCGCACTCTTCTCTTCTTCGCCCACTCCCTTTTCCAGGGATGAGTTGACCTTTGCAAGCCACTCAACATTTCCTGGGCTTCCATTTTGGCTCTCCACCTCCTTGGTTACCTCCCTTTCCCACTTTATACGCTTTGGGCTGACGTTTGGGCTGCCATCACTATCCGCATCATAGACCTCCTCATCCATACCAACCCCTCTGATCCCCAACCCAACCAAGCCGCGATGCCTCATCGGTGGAAGAGTGTTTTGGTTCAGTGCCTGGGCTCCAAACCCATGGTCACCTACGGTGCGGGGGATGGCGCTTAGCCAAGGGCTTGCAACCGGACTTTGGTTTGGAGTTGCCGGATACGGCGGCGTTGGAGGGTGTCGGAGAGCTCGAGGTCTCCAACTCGGGGCCTGGCGCTGTATTTCATGCTCCCTCGAAGCGATCTTCGCATTGGATGAGAATGCAGACTTATTTTGTTGCGCAAATCGCACCTGGGGATGCGTGTTTGCCGCTGTCCAGCCGGACGAGGTGTAGCCAGAAGCAGGTGACGATGGAAGAGGGGTGTACGCTGTCATTGGCGTGGGCGGCCCCGAGAATTGTGCCCGGTCGAATTTTTGGTATGGCATGCTCGTCTCAGACTCTGTGTCTGTGCTTTCGCCGCGGAGGGGTCCTCGGCATTTTGGCTTCAATCTCTTCGTAGCTTGCTCGTGAGCAACGGGAAAATCATTGGGTGTACTTCGGGGTGACACAGAGTCAATTGTTCGAACCGTTCGCTGGCTTGGACTGGGCGTCGGATTTTGAGATGCGGATGAAGATGGGTTGGACGTGGGACCATTTGTGGCTGCGGAACGGAAGGCTATAGCTTCTTTGGTGCCGTGGATAATGACCGATGGTTCGATAACCATTCGCCCACAGAGAGGAGATTCACGGTGTGTGCATTGTGATGGGAAACTGGGCCCGAATATCGGAATGAGGGCGCCAGCGATGTTGGCGCAGAAGGTTGCGCATAACGCCATGGCGCATGGATATGGCATCCAGTATCCTTCACCAAGTCAGATTATTTGTCCAAGAGCTGGGAGAATAGGCCATACCTTGAGCAGCAAGTGCACCTCCTGTGATGCTGTGGGTAATTTCTTTGAGCCCCGGGTTCATATTAAGCATCTTGGCTGGTATGGTCTGCGGTTCATTAGAAAGTGGCACCGTTTTGAGAACAGAGAAACTAACCTTCGAGTAATTGCAGCACTTGAAGAAAGGCGTAATACGGACAAGCCCGATATTGTAGTCCCACATTACCGTGTGTTCTTTTTCTTCGCCTGGAAGTCGGAATGTGTATTGGAAAACTGATACTCTTGTCAGCAATGCCACGAATGTAAATTGCAATCCTACCTTCAAAGCTGTGTCGACCAGTTTTCTCAAGGAAGCTTTTCTTCTCGCTGTTGTATGGGATATGGCGAGGATATTTCACAATCTCTCCGAGGGGAAATACCTTATACTTCTGGACTTCCCGAACACTCTCCGGGTCAAGGTTCTCAAACGGAGGAAACATAACAGTTCCCATGACCTTGCCTTTGAAAAAGACAGCACCATCTTTACTCATCTTAGATTTTGCTGAAGACTGTTGGCCACTGGGTCGCGGGCTTTCGTTTGGAGATAGATGCGAATAGTAAGATGGAGAGCTCGAAGGTAAACTAATCCATCGAGACTCTGAGGTAGATATGGGGTTGAGAAGCGAAGACAAGGAAAGCATAGCGCTGAAGAGGCGTTGCTGGCCCTTCCGACGAGCTATTGGAGGTCTCAGACGGTGTTCCAGAATAAGTTGTAAGTCGTTGGCTCCGACCTTTAAAGCAATGCAGTCAACTTGGTGTCGATGCTTGAGTCCTTGGAATGAATGAACGAGGATTTAGATGCCCAGTCAACCCCTTCCAAGCAGCCTTGGAAGGCTCGGAATAAAGATTCAAAGGGCACTGGAAAGAAAAATTCTTGGGTCGGTTCTGGATATGTGAGTTTTCTCGGCGGGGTCTCCGGCCCTTGTTGGTCGTGTCTTAGTGATAGCCAGTGAACATATGAGACTCCGTTTGCACGCACACTAATATTTATGAGCCGAGGGTTGCTAGGTGAACATGCAGGATTATGCAGGCTCTTGAAAGGGCGTGTCTCTGTCTGCGTGTTAACGTGTTTTCCTTTATTTGACGCGCTGTCCAAGGGTAAGAGATGATTCTTATCAACGAATCCAAGGGGCCTTTCGACAGCGTTTCAGGGGTTCCGTCAGAATGACAAGCCTCCAACGAATACTGGAGGTAAATGCGATAACACCCCATATCCTCGTCCGCTATGCCTATCCCATAACCGCAGACGGACGGCAAAGTCTCCCTTGGCAATGGCACATGACACAGCTTCGAGGAAATTAGTCTCAGAAGGTCCCAGTAGCTGCAAGTTTCCAGTCGAAAGAGTTTCTGGCTGGCTGCTTGGACAGGGGTATATTTCCACCCCGATGAAGCCGTGGTTTGACAGCAGCACACAAATGCTAACACCGTAACGGGAGCAAGTAGTGTTTGAATGGGGTTAGGCGGATATATGGTGACGGGTGGTGGCTGCAGCACAGGCGGATAGCTGCATACTTATGCAGCAGAATTGCCGCATGGATGTGTTTCCGGCCCTGACTCTTGTGGCTGGGGAGAAAGAAAATGCCTATCACAGCATATATCGTAGTAAGACAACTTGATTGACTCGATGCAAGGAGCAGGGTAGCTTGGTGCTTGCTATCGTTGAGGTTTATGTCTCGGTGTCAGAAGTCATGTAGGAATGTGCTCAAAGGAATATATCCCATCTCTTTTTTATTATCGTACCCGGATTTGATCATGCTTCTTGTCGGCGTGAGCAGCCGTATATTGCATACACCGTCAAAGACAGCAGTGTAGTTCCGCAAGGGAAGTTTCCATGGCCTTTCGAGAAGCTTGTTAAGGAAGGATTGCTACTCCCCAAATAATGGCATGTATTTGTCATTGCTTTGACTCTGATGACCCACAGGATAGCCATGCAAGTATGCGTCTGAAATCTAGCATCTCCATGTCGTCATGTCTTGCAACGCCGAAGATTTAGAGCCGGGAAAGGTTCGTGGCGGCTCAACAGGAACAGGGGACCTCGATGTGAGAGTTGAGGTCATGCACAGAATGAAGAGCCAAAGGATGATAGTACAGTAGAATACTACCATGGGAACCTAGAAATGAATAAGGAAATAAGAGAAGGTCTTCTTCCAATATATCATATCCGCTCACCTGGATGGTTTGGGGCCTGACAATGGATTCTTATGTGTGAGGTATTGCAACAGAGAATTATCATATTGAGGATTTACTGTGCCTGAGACAGAACCGCAACCAGTTCTAGATATGACATGCCTTTCTCCCATGAGTTGCCCCGCGGCCAGGCCATAGTAGGCAATCCCCAATTCTTCGAGTCGGCAAGATGTCGAAAGTTGGCGATAGCTATTGCAAGAAATTAGTGAAGCCTGCAGTTAACCGTTGATCTGGACTGCCCCCACGTGGCTCGAGCCAACCACTTTCCAGAGTTGCAACTGTAACTATACAAACGGAGCGATGAAGTTGAGAATTAATTTGCCTCGGATATGCCTGGTCTAGGTTGAACGAAAAAGGAAGTTACAGGAACCCGGTGGCTTTTCTCTGGAGCCTCGTTCATACATCACCAATCAATTCAAAGAAGACACAATATGGGCGCGTAAGAAGAAAACCCCCCCCCAAATCGTGGTATAGCCCCACAGTTACCGTCCCATTCCCATCAAGGACTCATTTGTGTTTCATATCATCACTTCTATTGCACAATGAATCCCTCTCCGCTTTTCATTCTTCATTTCCGCAGGATCTGCAAATATACCACCGTATCAGGCTTGTTTGAGCTTCTAGTACGACCTCAAGAGCTCTTTTGGCTTTCCGGGGTTTTCCACGTTCAGTAACACTGACACGAGCCTCAATACGGCAAGATATAGGTCAACCTTGCCGTCAATAATTCGGAGTTGCGAAGAGGTATAGCAACACAAAATCACCAAAAGACTGTCAGGGGTGACGAAACGTGCGGGAAGCCATTGTAACAGGCGGCTTTCGCTGCGGCTGGGATTGTATCATGAGCAATCAAGGAGCCTCAAAATAGTACAACCATGCCAAAACGTCTGTGTTAGTTACACACATCATCTCCACGCTGAAGCTGTCATCTCCAGTCATCTTCAGCTTGTATTCAATTGTCAGGATGTCCAAACTGCTTCTGCCTCAGAATTGTCAGGAAAATCAAATCTAAAGTCTGATTCCCATGCCATGATTCATAGTCCCAGGCGTACTATTGGGGCTAATACTGAGCTGGTCGTGGAGTTGATATCCTAAGTAAACAAACGACCAAGAGTACGCGAAGCCGCTTTTATGTCACGTGACAGGGTCAAAGCTCGTGCCTGATGGTGGCCTGCAACACCACGACGCGGTTTCCTCGCCAGAATCCCGAGCTTTGTTTACACAAGAGGACCCCGAATCCAAGGACAACAAATAACGCACATTATTGTCAATGACAGCACGCCAACCCCTCCATATACTCTTCGCCTAAGCATCTTCTCAACGGCAGCAGGATAGGCAAGCTCTATTCGAATTCAGTGCTTGCCGCACTCCTCTTACTACCATCTGCTGCCTCGAGTTTTTCCGCCACATAGTTCGCCATGGACGACTCCGTGATGGATGACTACGATGACTACGGCGATTCCGATAACTTCTCCCCGGTACCTGTCGTTGTGAGTGCTCTAATTGATGCGCCCATGCCTGTAGTTGGAGTGGTGCGAAATTTGGATGCGACAAGGCTAATTAAAACTGTAGAAAGCCAAACCGAAGCCCAAGGCTGCCCCCAAGAAAGCACCTGCAGCCAAAGCCGCCGCAAAGCCAAAGGCTGCCCCCAAAAAACTGTCTCAAACCACACTAAAGACCAAGTCTGTACCAAGCAAACGCCCCAAACCCGACAGCGACGACGATGAGGATGCACCAGAAGATGGCGAGGCTGCAATTGAAGATGACACAATGTTGTCAAATACCCCACCAAGCGCCAAGAAGCAGAAGAAGGCCCCGGTCGCGAAGAAGGCGGCGGGAAAACCTCTGGAAACGATCGAGAACGAAAGTATGAACTTAGACGGCCCTACAGAATCGAAGCCCAAGAGTGGCAACTCGACTGATCGCTATCAAAAACTCAGCCCTGTTCAGCACATCCTCACACGTCCCGATACATACATTGGCTCTGTCGAACGAACCGAACAGCAAATGTGGGTCTTCAATTCTCAGACAGAGCAAATGGAGAGTCGGAAGGTTGAGTACATTCCTGGGCTATACAAGATATTCGATGAGATTCTTGTAAATGCAGCCGACAACAAGCAAAACGATGCAAACATGAAAGCCCTCAAGGTCACAGTGGATCGCGAAAAAGGAGAGATTAGTGTCGAAAACGATGGTCGAGGTATCCCCATCGAGATCCACGAGAAGGAGAAAATTTATATTCCAGAGATGATTTTCGGTCATCTTTTGACCTCATCCAATTATGATGACGAGCAATCGAAGACAACCGGAGGCCGCAACGGCTATGGTGCGAAGCTTTGCAATATTTTCAGCACATCGTTTACACTGGAAACTCAGGACAGCAAGAACGGGAAAAGATATAAGCAGGTTTGGACAGACAATATGTCCAATATGAGCAAAGCCAAAATCACGGCCAATAAGTCAGCAGACTTCACCAGAGTTACCTTCACTCCGGATTGGAAGAAGTTCCAGATGGATGGCATTGACGATGATTTTGAAGGCTTGGTCAAGCGACGCGTCTATGATCTTGCTGGCACAGTGAAAGGTGTATCTGTGTATCTCAATGGCACCAAAATCAAAATCAATTCTTTCAAGAAATACATTGAGATGTATGCCAAGGCCATCAATGCCCAGCGTGGCGTCCAAGATGCCGAAGTCAAAACAACCGTCATTGTCGACGACGACGACTCACATAAGCGATGGGAGATTGGATTTGCTGTTTCAGATGGCTCGTTCCAACAAGTTTCCTTCGTGAACTCTATCGCCACCACCACTGGAGGTACACACGTCAGCTATATTGCTGATCAGATTTGCCAAAGGCTCCTTGATCACGTCAAGAAGATCAACAAACAAGGAACAGCATTGAAAACCAACCAAATCCGAAACCATATTTTCCTCTTCGTCAATTGCCTGATTGTCAATCCTGCCTTCACTTCTCAGACCAAGGAGCAGCTGACAACCAAAGTAAGCCAATTCGGCAGCAAGTGCCAGGTCACGGAAGAGTTTCTGAAGAAGATCGTCAAGACCGATGCAGTTGCCAACATCATGCATTTTGCTCAGCAAAAAGCCGACCAGGTGTTGTCGAAGAGTGATGGCAACAGGCGTTCGCGTATGACCAACCCCAAACTTGTGGACGCCAACTTGGCAGGAACGAGACGTGGGCACGAGTGTACGTTGATCCTCACTGAAGGTGACTCTGCTAAGGCTCTCGCCGTTGCTGGCAGAGCCATCCTGGACCCTGACAGGATTGGGGTGTTCCCGCTTCGAGGAAAGATGCTCAATGTTCGAGATGCTTCTATTGATCAAATTTCGAAGAATGCTGAGATCCAGAATATCAAGCAGTTTCTTGGTCTCAAGCACAAGCAGGTCTACACCGATCCACAGTCGCAAGGCCTTCGGTATGGACATCTGATGATTATGGCCGATCAAGATCACGATGGTAGCCATATCAAGGGGTTATTGATCAACTTCCTACACGTGGCCTTTCCTAGCTTGTTGAAGCTGCCTAATTTCTTCCAAGAATTTATTACGCCTATCGTTAAAGTGTGGAAGGGACCCAACCCGAAAACCGCGATTTCCCGGACATTCTTCACCATGCCTCAATATGACGAATGGAGAGAGAGGCATAAGCACGAACGCAGTTGGAAGCACAAGTACTACAAGGGTCTGGGAACTAGTACCACTCAAGACGCCCAAGTTTACTTCACGAAACTCGACGAGCATCTGAAAGAGTTTGAGCCCATCAAGAGAGAAGAAGAGGATCTGTTTGATCTTGCATTCTCGAAGAAGCGGGCTGATCACCGAAAGCAGTGGTTAGGCAACTTCGTCCCTGGCACTTTCCTAGACCACTCGTCCAGCAAAATCTCATACGATGATTTCGTTAATCGCGAACTTATCCTTTTCAGTATGGCTGACAACATGCGATCTATTCCTTCGGTTATTGATGGTCTTAAGCCGGGTCAGCGAAAGGTCATCTATTCTGCATTCACTCGCAACATCACTTCGGATATGAAGGTTGTGGAGCTTGCTGGTTACTGTTCTGGACTGACGGCATACCAACACGGAGAACAGTCGCTTCAGGGTACTATCATTGGTCTCGCCCAAGACTTTGTGGGATCCAACAATGTCAACTGCCTAGAGCCCAGTGGAAATTTCGGTTCTCGATTGGCTGGTGGAAGTGATGCTGCGAGCCCACGTTATATCTATACTCGATTGTCGCCGTTCGCGAGGCGCGTCTTCTCCCCCCTTGATGAGGCAAATCTCGAATACAATACGGATGATGATCGCCGTATTGAGCCAAAGGTGTACTGCCCCATTGTACCCATGGTTCTTATCAACGGTGCGGAGGGTATTGGTACCGGTTGGAGTACGTCTATTCCCAACTATCACCCAGAAGACATTGTCACGAACTTGAAACGTCGCATGGGACGCCTCGATAGCTCTGAGGAACAGCCGTTTGAGCCAATGATGCCGTGGTTCCGTGGCTGGAAAGGTGTCGTGGAAGAGGCAGGCCCAGACCGTTTCCGGGCCGATGGAAGAATCAGCGAAGGCCCCGGAGACAACGAAGTTGAGATTACTGAGCTGCCTATTCGTGTCTGGACCGACGATTTCAAAGGCAAGCTTGAGGAAGTCATCAAGGGCGAAAAGGTCACGTCATTCATCAAGGATTACAAAGAATTCAACGACCATGACAATGTCCACTTCGTTGTTCAAATGGAAGCTTCTCAGATGAAGGCCGCTCTTACTGAAGGCTTAGAAGAGAAATTCAAGCTGCAGAAGACAATTGCGACGTCCAACTTAGTTGCTTTCGATCTTGAGGGCCGCATCCGCAAATACACCAAGGTTGAGGAGATTCTTGAAGAGTTTTACGTCCACCGACTTGCAATGTACACAAAGAGAAAGCAGCATTGGCTAGATGTCTTTGGAAAGGAGTATCGTAAGCTGAGCAACCAAGCTAGGTTTGTTCTGGATATAATCGACAACAAGCTTGTTGTTTCCAAGAAAACCAAGCCAAAGCTTGTCGCTGAGCTCCGTGCCAAGAAATACGAGCCATTTCCGAAAGTCAAAGACGCCAAAAAAGCAGGCGAGGCGGATGATGTTGTGGAGAACGACGAAGAAGTTCCAGATGACGAAGAGGGGGGTGCAAGAGACTACGACTATCTTCTTGGGCTTCCTATTTGGTCGCTTACGCAAGAGCGTGTTGATAAACTCAATCGACAGATGGTAGACAAGAAGGCAGAGCTCGATGATCTTGAAGCGTTGAGCGAAAAGGACCTTTGGTGCCGTGATCTTGATGCCTTCCTTGAGGTTTGGCATGCGGCCCTTGAGGAAGATACCCAGGTTAAGAAGAGCATTCGATCACTTGGCCGCCGAGCGTCAAAGAAGCTTGGTGTTGGCAAAGGTGGCAAGTTGTCGACCAAGATCAAGAAGGACGAGGAATATATGCCAACGAAAAAGGCTGCCAAACCAGCCAAGGCCAACCCTACCAAGGGAGTGGTCCAAGTTAAACCAACTGAGACAGCGAAGAAGCGTTTCGAAGACATGTTCTCTGCGAAACCAAAGAAACCGAAGACTCAAACCCTTGGATCAGATGGCGCCGAAGAGATGTCGGGCCTTTCAGACGACGATTTTGCCGCTGTTTCGGCTGCACCTGCGCCCGCTGCGTCCAGGAGCAAGAGGGCGGCTGCCGCGAAGCCAAAGAATTGGCTCGTAGAAGACGACGACGAGTCTGAAAGCGACGACGACAAGATGCTCGGGGATGTTGGAGCGATGGTCAAGGGTATTGGTGCTGAATCCGACACCGCAGCGAACAATGGCCGCCTGTCTCTCTTCGCAATGTCAAGGCCAGGCAGCAGTTCTGGCAAAGCTCCCTCAGCATCTTCCAAGTCCAAGCCAGCTGCTAAAAGCAAGGTTATTGACTTGTCTGATGACGATGAGACTAACTATGAGATGTTGGCCAAACCTTCACCGCAGAAAGCTCAGGCACCCCAGCCACTGGATCGAGACCTGGATAGCTTCCTGAGTAATGACGACAGTTTGCCTGTTTTAGTGAAAGCAGCAGCAACCAAGCCAGCCCCAAAAGCAAAAGCCGTCCCAGCGCCAAAGCCTAAAAAGGCTCCGGTCGTGAAGAAGGCACCTGTGAAGGCTGCGGAACCAGCGCCAAAGCCACCCGGATTGTCTCCGGCTGCCAAGGCTTATGCTGCCAAGCAAGCCAAAGTAAAGGTCACCTCCAAGGCTGCTGCCAAAGACGATTCGGAAGATGATTTGGCAATGAGCGATGCGGAGGATGTCGATGAAGATGTCACGGAAAGCCCTGTCAGACCTGCCGCAAGGGGTCGCCCTGCTCGTGCCGCGGTAGTGAAGGCAAAGTCTAAGAAGCCCGTATATGCGGACAGTGACGAAGAGGAAGAGGAGAGTGTAGTGGAAGAGGACAGTTATGATTTTGATGAGAGTGACTAAGTACTGTTCAATGTCTCGGCCTGCAATTCAATGAATGGCAGCGGTGTGGCGTGTGGAGTTTTGTTTGGGAAGGGGGGATACGGGCGGCTGGTGGATGGGATGGGATGCAATCGGATGACATTATCTTCAACTGGTTCACTTTGCTTTGGGAAGGTACTTATGGGAGGGATATTGCCTATGGTTATTGCTATTTGCTCATCGCCGTTGTATGGATCGGGATGCGCATGTTATGATTAGTTTTCGTTATTCGTGGCACCATGCTTCCTTACTTGGGATAATTATAAATATGACGCACATACACATCAATGTTTTGAAGTTTTATTATGAGCGTGCCATTTGGGAAGAAGTAATGTATGCCAATCAACCATATTCCTACCAACGAAAGCCCATGCAAAAACAGTTGCAACAATAAAGCGAAGTCGACCAGTTCCAAATCTCCTAGCTAGCTATACGCCGAATCTAACACATTATAGTGGTTTATTCATCCGTTTTGCCAACGCCTAGTAATGTCATTATCCCATCTACATCCCACCTTCCCATTTCCAAGCACCCATAAACTCCAAAATACAATAGACTCATCGATCGTAGAGGGTATCCGCAAAAAAAGTAAGCACACAACTAGCCGCCCAGAAGGAAATTATAGTCCCATTCCATCATTGCGCCTCACGAGGTATGAGGAGATCCACGTTCTCACGGTCAGAGAATCCATCGTCAAGCGCAGTTAGAGGGGAGGAGGTGTGTGAATGTGAATTAGAGTGCTCTGATGACGACTCGGTGGTGGTAGATCCGTTTGTGACGGGCAGGTCAGCGACTGCCTCGGGTCCGGTGTTGAGGTTGAGTGAATTGGAGAAGGCCGCATCGTCTTGGGCGAAGGCGGGGAATGTTTGGGGTTTAGGTTTCGAGATCATGAAGCCATTAGCCTTCGGTTTGTGCTCTACTGAAGGTTCTGGTGTCGCCTCGTGTGATTTATAGCTTTGGAGATCAACAAGGACCTGTGGATCGGCATATTGTAAGGGATAGGCGGCGGCCGGCTCGTGCTGTGCCAACTGTTGCTGTTTGCTGATGACTGGTAGCTCCACAGTTATCGATAGATAGGTATTGTGGGCATGTATGATGGTGTTCTCTTGAGGGAGGCCAGGCGGGGCGTCAAACAAAGGTGGTAGAATGCCTCTTTGAAACTGGACCGGTGGATCTTGTTGAGACGCGCCTGTGTCCATCTTATCTGCATTATGTTCTTTGGCAGCAGAGTAAGCAGAGGGTGAAAAGCGAAGTTTGATGTTTGTGCGGTTACTTGCTTCATTTTCCTTTGCAGGTGATGGCGATGCGGTTTCGTTGGCAGCAAGGCTTGCCCTCCTTTCTTTTTGGGACCTATGATACTCATTGCTATAGCATCTCCCGCACTTTTTCCCCTTGGTTCCATTGGCCTCGGTGTTGTACCATCTAGATGACACGACGTTCTCTTCGCACGATTGGCAGTAGTCTTCTCTCGGGGTATAGGATCGCATCCTCGGCGCCTCGGGTGTTTTACTCTTGCTAGAGTTGAGCAAAGTATCCCGGTTAGCGCTCAGAGTATCGTCGTGGGTGGCTTTAGTTTGGTCGAAAGTATCAACCACGGCTTGGGAACGATCTTTCTTATTAGCTCCCTTTTTGGGATTTTCTTTCGAATACTTTTTCCCGCAACCTGTGCACAAGGTGCCCGGACCATTCGGCCCCCTCCTGTCCACAAGAATGTCATCCCTGTTGCAAATGTCACATCTCTTTTTATGTAATTCTCCTTTCTCGATGCTAGGCAATAATGTGGCCGATGTTACAGCTTCCGTATTAGCTTCTTTTTCACGATTTGCTTTGGTCAATTTCTTCTGACAACTTGCGCACAAGGTATTCGGACCATCGGGTCCCCTTCTATCCACGGTGATGGTAGACCTCAGGCACTCGTGACATTTCCTTTTCTGTGACACTGCTTCCTCAGTGCCAGGGGACCTCGTGGAGTCGATTTCATTGCCCACATCAGCTTTCGTATGAGCCCTTGGACGCGTATGTCGGATAGCCTCGCCACCTAGTTCTACGATGGTGGTACAATGCTTGCAGACTAAGCAGTTGCTACGAACCTGATCATCATATTCACAGATGCCACCAGTAGACGACCCAACGCAGATCTCGGGACGCTTCGCCTCAACCGAGTCTGTTACTCCTGGAGAGTTATTCGCAGTCGCATCCGGTAGTAGCGCTGTACCCTCGAGTGATTTCGCTTTTGATGCTTTCGATTTTGGTGCTTTAACTGTAGGCTTTCTTTTGGGTTTTCCAGATGGGGTGCCATTTGGCGTGTAATCCGAACCTGCTACCATTGGAGAGTTATTCAACTGCTCGTGCGGCAGCAATGTTATCGCATCTAGCGTAGCACTCGGTGCATTCGCTTGGAGTGCCTCAATTTCTCTCTTCTTTCTTTTGGTTTTTGAAACCGGAGTGCCATTTGACGTATAATCCGAGTCTTCATCGTCTTTTAAACGGGTTCTCTTTGTATATTTCCTCCCTCCCGACAATGACGCAGGTGATAACATATTCACCGTGGTACAAGTTGTATGATGAAGGGTGCTGCCTTTGTGGCAGCGGATGCCGCACTTGAGCCCTTGCATGAGGCACGAGCATTTGGTGCTCAGCGAACATGCTTTCGAGCAGCCACATCGTGAAACCATGCCGGAAATCTCGTCGCATATCTTATCGAATTCGCCCAGTTGATTTTGTCGATAGCCGTGCTCTTCGGGCGCATCATGGACGGCTACCTTGATGAAGTCCAGAATAGCTTGGCTTTGTCTGGGGAGCGGCTCGTTTGTGCATATCTCATTCTTCATGAGATAATGCCAAACATTTAGTGTTTGTGGCAAGGTATTCTTGCGCCATGCCATGCCGCCAAGAAAGAAGCAGTTTGTCAATGTGATCGGTGCATGTATCGTCCCGGGAGGCTGTATCAACATGTCGCCTCGGGTAAGAGCAATAACAGGAATCTTGCCATCAGGTTTGGGCCTCCAGTTAATTCCTTCCTTTGAAAATGCCACTCGAGCTGCGTCCTCATCTTGAGCGTTCATGTGGTGCGTCGGGTAGACTGGCCAGTACTTGACAACATCTTCAGGTTCCTCGTCCGGGCTGTCAATGTTGCTTTCGAGAACGATGAAGGTATAGACTCCAGCATTATCGATATGCCAGGAAGAGCAAGCTCCCCTGTGTGCGAGGATTCGGAACTGAGTGCACTTTTGGATGTCACTGTGCGAAAACAACATCAGTGTGGTCTTCCCTACTCCACGGTCCTGTTCAGAAAGCGGAACTAAACGCTCATCCAGTGACCTGTATATCATGCTCTCGCACTCATCTATGGCTTCGAAGAGTAGCTGGTAATCTTTGGCAAGCCCTTCAGGCCAATGCCCCACGGTTTTGTCCGAAATATTCAAGAGGTTCATCGGCGGCGTTTCGAGGGATATAACATCACTGGTCTGTGAAGTGCGCCATTGTTGGATGGCATCTTGCAGAGGTATGTTTTCAGCGGCGCCATCATTACACTGCCGATTCAAGCGCTGAACATCAACCCATTTTTTGTTTGTCCGCTTTTCTTGCTCTCTCAGCCATGATTCCGTAGATTTCGCAGGCCGACGTCGGGAAAATTCCGGATCCCGAATTACCACGAGCTTGGGTGGGTTATTAGCCCGTGACCATGCTGCGTGCTCTGACTCCGTGAGCAGAAGGATGTCCGCCTCGTCATACGTGCAGCTGCATCTCCCGTGTATTGAAGTCTTGGAAGGATCCAGGCCGACTTGTGCTGATCCCACTCCACCAGCAGTCCATACACGAGCAGGCCTGCCATTATCAAACACATAGTGTGCCAGTTCCCCCAGCCGCGCGAGGTGTGAATCCGGATTCTGACGTATAACTTCATTGTACTCTCCAAACAATTTGTGTCGTCTTGGGTCGTTGAACAGCCGCGCCTGTTGTGTTTGGGCAGGGAACTCGCCGTTCAGAAATGACTGTTGTTGACGGCGTGGGGGGCTCGCTGCATCCTGAGGTGACTCCATTTTTATGTCAGGAAACTCTGTAGGTGCTTCATGTGCTCCCTTGGTTTGAAGGTAACCCATATATTCTTCCGGTTCTGCTTGGTTTTGCACAGGCGCGCATTCGGGTAGTTGAGAGGCGTCGAGTAGCTCCGTAGGTGTTTTATGGACTCCCTCGGTCTGAAGGCAACCCATATATTCTTCCGCTTCTGGTTGGTTTCTCGCATGAGTGAGGGGTTCCGTAGGTGTTTTATGTACTCCCTCACTCTGACGGAAACCCAGATGTTCTTCCATTTCTGCTTGGCTTCTTGCAGGAGCGCATTCGGGAAGTTGAGAGGAGTCGAGAGCTTGTGGTCTATCGGCTGAGGACATTTCCGCGGGTTTAGGAGTTTCTGCAAACATTTGCTCCATGGCGGATATACATCAGTCGGTATATCATCGAGGTGGACGATCAGACTCTCAAGGCGTTGATTTGAATGTGAATGTCGAGGTGAATCGTAGACCTCGGATGCTGCGAGGCTGTGAAGTTGACAGCTACTCGTCCTTTGGCAAATTTGATTATAGGTACATGGAATGATCGTATTATACAGACAACATATGTGTAGATTCGTGCTTCTGGCACCGCTTTGTAGGTGAGATAATATACTCGCTGTTGGTGTTCTTTCGAGGTTTCGATCTCGCGAGGCTACCAGATCCCACCAGACTTATCGCGGAATAACACTAATATCCGGTCCGCTCCACACTTGTGCTTAGCGTCAACGTCATGTTTATTTAGCTCCACTCGCTGAAGACATCCCTTTCTTCAGCAAATCTGTCACAAATACTCGAATCCGAGAATTGATATTGCGATTGAGGCTGATAAAATCGGCATTTCAACTAATATATATGAATTTCAGCGCTATGTAGACTCACATATTTCTTGTCTGGGTTCATGACAAGAGCGAGCCAGTGGCCTTAACTCAGATGTAGCTACCAAATACGTGGTTTCATAGCTTGACAGCCTAGCCTCTCCTTTCATCCATCCCCAGTCAAGATGCAAAGGTCCCCCGCTGAAGATCACGCCCATAAAATGTCAAAACGCCTTCCTATGACTCAGGCTGCTAAGCACGCCACAACACAAACACCAGACACCCTGCTGTCCCAATACAAGCTCACTTCTTCAGTGCTGCAAACCGCGCCGCCAGTTCATCGATATCGGGAATGGTACCGCCCACGGGCCCTTTGCTCTTTAGGTCAGGCTTCTTCGTCACGTTTGCATCCGCCATCTTCTTTGTCGGCTTCAGGTCGAGGGTGCCTTTGACTCGCGGGTGTAGGTTGTCCGTGCTTGGGCTAGGTGGGTTAACCCTTAATGGGCTGCTTGGTCCGAAATCTCTCGGCGGGGTGGCCTTTGTCAACTCGTCCCTCTCTTCCTCCACCCTGCTGCGTGCCGGTATTGGTTCCTCCAGGGCTTTCTCTGCTTGGCCGCCACTCGAGGGGTCCTGGTCCTCATCACTGGCGTACTTTGGGGGGGTTCCAGGCTCCGCTTTCGGCCAGTCGACGCCATACGTGCTTGCTATTTCTTCCAGGTATCCGTTAACAAGAGCCTCAGATGGTGGCTCTATCCTCAGCTTCTTGACAACCTTCTCGGCCACCTTGTTGTCCGTGTTCTCCGCCGCGTCCAACGCAAACTCCTTCCCATATTTGTCTGCCAGTAGAGCCCGGACCACGTGTATCTCCTTGATGTCTATCTTCGGAGCTGCATACATGATGCTCTTGACTGCTTCTTCCAAGCCAGCGTCGCAAGTGGAGCTTTCCATCATCCCGACACGGGCAAGCAGTAGCTCGCAGTATAGTTCGAGTATCTCGTAGAGTTCGCAAGTGATGTCGGACCGAATGATGCCTTCGACGCGGATACGTGCGCTTTCGATTTTGCCGGCTTCTAATAATTGGGCCATGGAGCGTCGTGATTGTTTGGATACCGCTTCATCCTTTTGTTGGGCCATGCGAAGGCGCGCAATGGACAACTTCAGCTGCACCTTCAGCTTCGACTGTTCAGACGTCAGCATCGCACATCAGATCAAAAAAGTCGGGGATAGCAAACCATATAGGAATTAGTGGGAGCCATATCGAATAAAGTGTCGTTGCGCTATTCAGGAACAGTTGTCGCACAGAAATGAAGTGGTTGGATTCGCGGAAGCCTAGATTGTCGTCGTCACAGGTGGTGGGGTAACTTCGATAAGAGCGTAACGCGGGGCGAGGCGCGGTTCGCCGCTAAAATGCTGCAAGGGCGTTTTGTAAAGCAAGGGCCGCCGAGGCTAATTGAGTAACCAAACACCCATGTTATGACGACGCCGAGCAATTGTTTGAATTTTATTGTCCCAGACGTAGAACGAAATATTCGTCGATCGATGGCGCATTGACGCGCTGCAGTTGGAATGCCTGTTGCGACAGCTCAGTTCAACAGTGACCCAGCGACCCAGTACGGACGATGGCCACCACCCGGCTCGAGAACTCAACAACTCCTCCAGCTCTAGATACAGAGGGGACATTGAGCCTATCCGGTTTTGCAGCAAGAATATTCTCCATACGTTGAAACAGACACAACAAGATCTTTGAGCTACCTGCGTCCCGTGGCGCAAAGTGTTCAGGATGACTGCTCGCCCACACTCGCCCGAGGCCGCTCCACGAGGAAGCCCGAGGCCAAGTCAACGCTCAAACTCGAATAAGAACGAGGCAGAGCCCGATGAAGCTGTTGAAAAGAAGCCAACTACATTGGATAAAGTGGAGGAATGGTCCGCGAAACATGCGTCGGTGATATGGGCCAACCTGCAAACGGGCAATCTCTGGCAAAGAATGCTCAAAAACACCATCGCGTCAACAATTGCGATCATAATAGCACTGATACCGGCCGTTCTTAATGTCTATGGGAAAGCTACATATTTGGCTGTTGTTACCACCGTCTTTGGCCACCCAGGGAGGCGCTTCGGCATGATGGCTGAAGCATTGATCCTGACAATTCTTGGGACGCTTTTGGGGGCTGCCTGGTCAGTGTTGGGAGTATACCTATCATCTCTGGTATACCATTACAATGTACCGGCAGCTTTTACTATCAAGGGTGTTTTCCTCACACTAGCTGTCTTGTTTCATGGGTATCTGAGGTCTCATACTCCACGGCTGTTTTTGGGGGTACTTCTGATGCTCATCGTCGTTGTCGTCACTTTGACAAACCCTGCTAAGGCCGTTACTGTTGGATTAGTCACAGCTATCCTCTACCCAATTTTAACGGCAGTAGGGATCTTACTTATTGTCAATGTCGCTATTTTCCCAGAGTTCAGTAGTAGCTTTTTAGGAATTACGACCATCGAAACTCTGAGCCAGACAGTCAGCACTTTGAGAGACGCCAACAGCTACTTTGTCGCCATTCTCGACCCCAATAATGAGACGATTGGAAAACAAAACGAGAACAATTCCGATGGAGAAGCTGACAAGAACGAGCAGGAACAAGAAGAGCCCCCAAAAGAGTCTTTATTCCATAGGCTGGTTAAAGCAGTCAAGTCTCTACGTTCAAAGCCGTTAACGGAGGAACCATTTGACCCCGCCAAAAGAACTGAAGGGGAGCGTTCTGGAGAAGAACCCTCTACTCCAGAAGTTCCGAAACCTGTTGTTCCGTCGATTGTGGAGCTGAAATCATTGACTGATCAGAAAGCGAAACTGCGTGCTAAACTTGAGAGCTGCAAATCTGCACAGCAGGAATGCATGTTCGAATTAGCATTTGCCGTTCTGCCGCCGCGAGACTTGAAACCAATCAGCGATACGTCGATGAAGAAGCTCGTTGCGAACACAATATCCTTAATTGGTGCGTGCGAGAGCAAATACGCGTTACTTGGTGACATAGACGACGCTAAAGTTGCCAGTGATGAAGCTAAGGGTGCCAAAACTCCTACTGGAAGCATAAGTATGAGCAGACGGTCCTCATTTGATCAAGACTCTGAGACGGGCGGCGAATCAAGTCATGAGCAATTCAGTGACAAAGAAGAGTCACATATGCCTTGGAAGAAGAAGAAGAAGGAAAAGGCCCGGAGAAGTAAAAGCAAGGCTAGAAGGAGCAAAAGCAGAGCAAGGCTTAGGAGAGAGAAAGAAGACTTGGAAATGGTGAAGCCGCAGAAAGAGATAGAGTCCGCAGATGAGGAGCTCATGAGACGCCTCCTAAAACGAATTGAAGGCCCTCTCCATTCACTCCAAACAAACATCGACAAGAGCGTCGAAGTTATCACGTCTTGCCTAGCCTATTGTTATGATGTCAAAAAGCTCCCATCTGGTGCATTTCCCCCGAAGGGAATCAAATTGGAGGAATTAGACATCCACATTGACGCTATGAAAGCTTCCATAGTGGATTTCGACAAGAACGCCTCAGCCGCCCTCGAATCTGCTACAGCATATTACGAATCTCACAGCACGCATGTTGATGTGACGCCTAGGATGGAGATTTTCTTGATCTCGAGCTTCATACTCAATCTTCGGCAGGCGGCAACCAACATGCGCAAAATGTTGAAGCATTCACGGAAGTTGGTAGAGAAGAGGCAGGAGCGCCATGAAAAACGAAGATTGTGGGCTCCAAGGATTCACTGGCGAAAGTGGTTGACCACAGGTGGAGAACATGATAAGCTGTCCCTTCCTGAACAGGGCCGGAAAGACAAGCGCCAGGGAAAGGAAGACCAACAAGATGAAGATAAAGGGCCTCATGAGACACGAGCAAAGGTTAAGACTGGTGATCTTGAGACACAGGCAAAGGTTAAGACTGGTGATCTTGAGGCTGGTGCCCAAACGGCACCGTCACAGAAACCCCCCTCGCCGAAGGTGACCAAAAAAGTCAAACCCAAAGAGGAGGAAAAAAGCCGGTTTGCGCGTCTGCGGATCAAGCTCGCTGATTTTGTCGATGCGGTCGCGGCTTCGGATGATGTCGAATATGCAATAAAGCTCACTATTGCAGTCCTTCTGGTGACATGGCCCGCTTTCGTTGGGAAGTGGAATACGTGGTACTACCTAAATCGTGGTTTATGGGCAGCTCTTCAGCTAGTCTTGATCACGGAAGTCGTGATTGGTGCCAGTGTTTGGGTCTTTCTACTCAGAGTTGTAGGGACAACTATCGGCTGTTGCTGGGGCTTGGCCGCATTTGAAGCCTCCGGAGGAAACCGTGTGATTACTGTTGTTATGTTGGTTATAGGGATTGTTCCATCAACATATGTCCAGCTAGGAACCACGTACATCAAAGCTGGTATGGTGTGCATCATATCGATGTGCATCGTCGCTCTGGCAACTGTCGACAACACTTTGTCGGGAGGCGCTGTGGACAACTTTCTGAAGCGGCTTATTGCGTTCCTGATCGGTGGAACCGTTGCTATATTCATCGAATTCGCTGTATTGCCCGTTCGAGCTAGGGATAGACTCGTCGAGTCCCTTGCTGCAGCAATTCAGAAGATTTCCGAGATGGAAGCATGCCTGGCGTATGGCGTAGAGAGCGGAAAGAACACGGATGCGCGATCTCCAGAAGTTATAGAGAGGTTTGAGGTCGCTATGGGTAAAGCCGAGGACGCACTTGGAGCAGCTGCGGCTTTTCTTCCATTCTGCGACCAGGAACCTCGGCTGAAGGGTTCTTTTGCTGGGCTTAGCCTAGTTTACCAGGAAGTTCTCTACGTCCTTCATCGCATCATAGAAAGGATGGACAACATACTCCAGCTACGAAATGAGTATGGCTCCGGCGTTCTTGAAGAGCTTAACGAAGAGGTTTACGCCTATCGAAGGAACCTAGCTGGCAGCATAACTTTGATTCTATTCGCCGTTCATGAAGCGCTTACAACCAAACTTCCACTTCCTCAGTTTCTGCCTTCTGCACGACTGGCACACCTTCGGGTTGTAAACCGAGTACGAGAGCTTGTATTGGAGAATGAACCTGCAATCCTTGGCAAAGACAATATGGAGCGATCGAAGATGGAGAAGCTCATGGTTCGCCGGATGTTGCGCCAGAAGTTTCTGTCTTGGAATGCGGCATCAGCTGGACAGATCGAGGTTATCGAGTATTTAGAGGAGCTGGTGGATCTTACTAAGCTCTTGGTTGGTGCAAATGAGTTCCGGAGCGGGCTCTTGACCAGACCATCGTACAACGACTACATCAAGAAAATCAAAGAAAGGGGAGAAGCCGAAGAGCGTGAAACACTAATTGAGGAAGAAAAACGTGGTCGGCAAGACACCGAACCTAGCCAACCTCTTCAAAGACGCCGAAGCGAGCAATCCCAGGAAGCGGAGATGGCGGATAAAGTGGCTGAGAAATTGGAGCCCGGGGTGAGGAAGAGAAGGAACACTAGGCTGGGCAGCATCGTCGGTACTGAGGGTGGCGAGCAGATTAGCGCGAAGTTGGCGAATGCAGAGTTGCCGATGTCATTGCGGAGGGTTCGATCCAAGAGGATTGAGGAGAGGGAGTTAGAGAGGATACGCAGCAAGCAGAGTATTGAGGAGGAAGAGAGTAAGAAGGGGAAGTAATTCTAGCGTATGTAGTATATATCGATAGCGATTTAGCCCTAAAACCAGCTCATTGTCACAGAATCGTTGAACTAATCGAGTGATCATCTAATTGATCCGTTTGATTTCGAAGTGAAGTCAATGTGCCTAGGCGCTTTGCATGTTCTGCCGGCCAATTATGATGTGCTTGGGGTTCTAGAAGCACTTGAGGCTATACAGTATTATTTGTATTATTTTGAACATTTGTCGCTGATATTTTTTTTGTAGTTTCCTATTAAACTCTTATTTCCGGAGAAAAGGAGGGAGTTGGTTTAATTATGTGTTTTGATTAGGACATTTGTGTGGTTCTTAAGTGTTGTCTCTGTCTGTTTGTTCTAATGAGCATAAGTGAGACTTGGGTTAGATATCCCCACAACATGGGAGCCCATTTGACAGAGAATGACAAGCACAACAAATCCTACGACGTCGTCCTTAAACCATGATGTGGTAACTTTCTATTACACTTGTGAACTTTTATTGCAACAGCAGTCTACCTTTGTGTGTTGGGTGCAGCCGTGGGTTGTAAGTTGGCGACTTCCGTTTCAAGAACTGAGACCAACAATCAGCAGCCTTTGTTCTGGTCCAAATCCACCTACCTTCAACAACAAACCCAACCACCTTTTACAATTCACTTTCTACTACTTATTTCTCTTGATCCGTCACCTTATATCTCTCAACTTTATCTAATTGTTGTTTCTATACTGGACCTCACGCACGCATTTTCGACATCAGTCGGAACAATCGAAGCAAGATGGACGCCGTTACACCAGTCCGGACACGGGCCTCGATACCGTCCAGTTCTTTAAGCAAAAGCGAGGAGGAAATAGTAAAGAAGTTGCATTCCAATCCAGAGCGCCTTTCATCTGGTGAGCTGGCAAAGACACTGCTGAGCACCTTCAACAAGAACTTGGGGAAGTTCTCGTTTGCAAGAACGTTTCAAGCATATTTGAAATGGCTCGAGGCCCAACGCCGTGCACCACAAACGACAATCAACTATAACTGGAAGAATGTCGTCATGCAATGGGCTCAGAGTTTGAAGGCCAGAGATGTTAGGCTCAAAGATCTGGTTCTCGAGGTTGAGCATTGGAAAAGGACCCATGGACCGTTTCAAGACTCAAAAACCGAGGTGAATCCAAGATACCCACCAACCATAGAAGAGTTGGAGACTGCATACAATATGGATTTGAGACCTCATAGCGCCAGAAGCCCTCCATCTGTCCCTCCAATGAGAAAGGGGGATCGCCATCTGCCTGTGGAACCTAGACGTGGCCACAGAGGACCAGAACCCAACACGCACGAGGCCATCAAGTCTCCAGCGAAGCACTATTTGTCCTCGCCTAACAATTCGTCAGTCCTTGCAAGCGCACCGGGTGGCACAATTGGTCTGTTTGTTATGAATGTTGGGAACTACTCAAACAATGAAGTGGTCGAAATCTTCCATCCTGATACCCGACATACTGTCACACGACTGGAAGCGTGGTTGACAAACAGAACTGTGCATTTTCGAACAATTGAAGACAGGGACCGGGCTTATGACCTTCTTCCAGATGACTTGAAGGACCGGAAAGAGAAAGACCTTACACGCCCACTTGTTAAGATATACGCGGGCAGAGGAACCAAGCAATGGTCAGACACCAGCAGCGGACATGCAGCCAGCCCTGAGAAAACATTGAGGCGGCTTGGTGGCAATAAATATGAACCCGAGGAAGTTGGTCTTTACTTTATAAACACCGGGAGATATTCGAGGAAAGATGTGGAAAGGCTCTTCAGGGAGAGAGATATTTCAAACATTGTCGGCGTCGAACGGTTGAGTAAATCCGACGTGGTTGTGTGGTTCCCATCCACCTATCTCCGGGACAAGGCTTTGGAACACCTGCCCTCCTACTTGAAAGATGACAATGAAACATCACGCAAAACTTCACTCTTCGTGGTGCTTTTCAACCCAAGGGTGCATGGCAAGCATCCAGCAAGTCGCCTTCGGGAGAGGCAAATCAACGTGCCTGACAAATTCTACAACAGAGGAGCTGATAAGAACGAAAGCCGAGTTGAAACCTCCGTTGCAACTAAACACGGTCGTATTTCACGTTGGGGGCATATTCGCGATGAAAACGATGGGTATCGACTCCCAGATAGAACGCTCGGCGATGATGGACGCCTCTCAAGATACGAATCTACCAACAACTCGAGCCCTGAGTTCAGCCGCCATAAGGAAACATCATTCAATAAGCCAAAAATCCCAGCCTTTTCTCCAATTCGACACAATGAAGAGAGAAAAAACGGATATTTGAATGATGAGGAACGTATGACGTGGGAACAGGACCAAGGGGATGTTTTCGCTGGGATGTGGTTGGAAAAGCTCACTGGGGAGATTATGGAGCAAAGAAGCAAACTAGAGAACCCAACCCACTACAATGCTTACAGCGAAGAAGAGCCAGTCGAAAAAGAGGCGTTACGACATGCAGCTCAACTTGTCAACGAGATTGGCAATGCCAGGGCTGGATTGAAGCGATCCAGAAGTCCAGACCCCATCGATTATAGAGAGGACATGGTCGTTTATTCTAAACGCACCAAGCTCGAAAATGACTCTTCCGGCCATATTGACGGTTTTGAGGGAGATCTATCTGATGGCGATGCCCTTGGTTTGAGTACGCTTGGTCTCGGCAGAGTGAAGCGCCTCAATGCACTTCACATGTGGGATCTTCTTGACAATTCCAAGCGCCTGGAAGAACATGCCCAAAGTGAGACGAGCAATTCAAATGAAAACAGTGCAATGGTGGAGGAGGCCTCGGATGGAGACAGTGATGGCGAGGACGAGGAGGCAGAATTCGACGACGACGAGGCAGAATTCGAGGACAGGAAGGAAGAATCCGATGTCCAACGGCCTAACAATGAGTTGTACGTTGGCTATATCTCATTTCGAACCTGCATGCTAATTCACTCATTGCAGAGAAACTATCTCAAGCCCAGACGACGGTTGGTGCTCATCCCGAGATTACTGGGCTGGATCTTCGGATGGCTCTAATTCTTCCGAGCTTGAGGAAGGTAAGTTACAAAATCCTCGACACTTTTCAATCAGAATCTCATGTCTTTAGGTGCCAGTGCCCAAGTGGATCTACCAGGCGCTGTGGAAATGAGCGACACCGATGTCAAGTCAGACCCTGAGATGGCATACAGTAGCCCGGAGACACCATCAGAGTAAGGTGGTGGGATGGATGATAGTTGGTGCTTATCACACTATATTGGCGGTCAATTTTAGGTTGTTCTGGCAGGTGGGTCGCAGTTGCTAGTTAGTCTCTGAAGACTCCCAGATTGCGGTCAGTTCATGTCCTCTTTATTCTCAGTTTTAGGCAGTCTCGCGGAGTCATGGAATTACATAATTGCTATATCTACAATCCACACGATTTCGGGGTGTTTGATGCCGTCT